AGCTGGTGCTTGATTCTTGTGGTAAATTTCAGGCAACAGTGTGATGGAAGAAATTCAGCACCATTTTACAGAATGCAAATGGTTTATTTACACAATTGTCAAACACTAGCTCACAATGTAGATTATACTCTTAGGCTCCTCTGTATGATGACTCATTTCACTGGAAAGATGTTTTCTGACCAACACATTTTTCAAGAGCATTAGTCACTATCTACCCTTCAATCACAGGCTCTTAAACATTCCAGTTTTTACAGACCACAATATATATAAAAACCAATTTAATTATTCCCGCATGATGTTCTACAAATTATCTTTACTCATATTTGAGTCAAAATAACATGTCCACTCAGGCTACATTTGCTCTACCTAATAATTTGTTCAAATGTAATAACAAGCTGTAGGATTATCAACGAACATATGAAACTCATTGTCTCAAAATTAACTCAGCAATTCCAAAGAACTTTAAAATTTGAAATGTTTGTTTTTGACTTATTCACTTCCATAGAGTGAACCTGTTTGCTATTATTGACTTGATCTCTTAGACATGTTCGCACTTGTAAACAAAAAATTTTAAAAAAAAAATTAGTTCAAAAATGTAACTTCAAATTCAAAAGAATGCTTAAGTGCCAAATTGCGCTAAACTTATGTTAACTTAACTGAAACCTGTGCTTTTTATTTAAAGCTTTTTTTATATTCTGTTTACAAATTTAAATGACAACTTACTAATTGTTATGACATGACTGAAAAAAAATTTGCTGAAATATCTCAACGTTTTCAATCCTATAGGACCCAAAGCTGTACCAATGTCCTGTATACAAAAAGCCGTGTCGTACTGACCTGACATTTATTACTACCATACTCATGAAAACTGCGCAGAGCCCTGACCACTGGATTCTCCGGGGAGTGGCTGCACTGTGTGATATCAAATAGATATCCCTGACAAGAGTCTAAGTCTTATGTGGGAGGAATACTTCAGAATGCATGCTTGAGAATGAGTGTTTTGAATATTTTATGTATTTACATAAGAATTTTTTTTTTTTTTACCTCTTGAGTTAGGGTAAGAATACCATAAACGAGTATTTCAATGAAATATGGAGAAAGAAAAAAGAATAACATTTTAAAAAATTTTAACAATAGGCATTGAAACATTTTAGGCATTTTTTTTTTAGCCTAGTTCTTAAAGTTTGATAGTGTCCAAATTAAATAATTTTCTTTTTAAGTTTTTAATTTAAAAGTGGGAAGGAAAACACATCTGTCATCAATGGAATAATTTTATAAGAAAGAAAAATGTATGCTACATTTATAACATTTGATACAGATATTCTGATGTGCTATTCTTACTTTATTTAAAAGGGGGGAAAAAACTTTTGAAAGCGAACCTGCACATTTACAAATGATTTTGATGGGATTTACTCTGCCTTTTTCTAATCTGTATACTTTTTCCCTAGACAATGTTATATAATCCTATTTTTATCAACATTTTTTATACAACTTAAGAAATGAACATCCTGATTGTCTTAAGGCAATAAATGTTTTACAACATATTTTAATTGTGTGGTGTTTCATTTTATTGAAAAGTTTTGTCTAAGACGAATTTAAATTGGGGTTTGCTCTGTTAGAATATAAACCGAAACAAATTTAACCGACCTTAATTTTTTATTTGACATAAGCTTGGCCAGTCAAAATCCAGTGTTATACTGCCAGGCATATGTTAGAGGGGCTTAGGGGTCGTTCATGTCTGGGAGGGTCACATTTTTTTGGACGAGGGGGAGGGGGGAAAATTGCAATTGTTGAGCCTTCTCGTCCATGAGGGGCATCCACCGATCATCGTCGGCGTCTGCGGTTCCTCCAAGGGCATAGGCCACCTACGAGAGACCTCCAGGCATCTCTATCCTGGGCCAGCTTCTCCAGGATCTTCCATTCATGGCCAATTTTCTTGATGTCTGTCTCCAATTCTCGGCGCCAAGTGTTTCTTGGACGGCCTCTTTTCCGCTTACCCTGTGGGTTCCATTTCAGGGCTTGCTTTGTTATGTTAGAAGCAGGTTTTCTTAGTGTATGACCAATCCACCTCCACCGCTTCTGGAGAATCTCTTCCTCAATGGGTTTCTGTTTTGTCCGCTGCCACAGTTCCTGGTTGCTGATTTTGTCTGGCCAGTGAATTCTGAGAATCCTTCTTAGACAGTTGTTGATGAAGGACTGGATTCTGGTCAGGTTTACGGCCGTTGTTCTCCATGTCTCGGCTCCATATAGCAGCACAGGTTTTACCATAGCGTTAAAAATCCTTACTTTTAACTTGCTGCCTAAGTTGTTAGAGACCCAAACATTCTTGAGTTGTTGGAAGGCTGCTCTTGCTTTTCCTATCCTTATTTTGACGTCCGCATCTGTACCACCTTGTTTATCTACCATGCTGCCAAGGTAAACAAAACTGTCCACATCCTCCAAGGCTTCTCCTTCAAGCATAATGGGTGATGTACTGGTGGCATTAACCTTGAGGATTTTACTCTTCCCTTTGTGAATGTTGAGACCCATGCTAGCAGAAGTGGCTGCGACAATGTTTGTTTTCTCCTGCATCTGTTGTTGAGTATGTGCAAGAAGTGCAAGATCATCAGCAAAGTCAAGATCATCCAGTTGATCCCACAAGGTCCATTGGATACCATTCCTCTTCCTGTTAGCCATTGACTGGGTGATGAAAACATCTACACAGCAGAAAAGAAAATTGCAATTAATGACACTAAATTACAGACATTGTTAACATTATTCTTGTATAGAATAAATATAATTATTTTATTTTTAAACTACGATCACTAAGAGTGAGAGAATAAGTACAGGTATGCGAGGTCCGAAAAATGACCTCTTATCAGGTTACAAGTCTACACAGTGGAAGAACATTGGGGTGTAGTGACAGTTGTAAGAACTATGTCGAAATGCGATGATGGGAGTCATAGAATTAGGGCTACCATGTGAAGTACAAGATATGGTTGACCGGAGAGAGGGGAATGATCTTAGTAAACAGCTCTAGGGCAGAGAATCTTAGCCTATTTGCACCACTGCTACCCCCTTTTACTCCCCCCTCCCCTACAAATTATATTGTAATAAAATGTAAAAAATGAAAATAGATAATTTAGTTATTGTAGTTTTATTTCTTTAATTAACTTTCTATGAATTAAAAATTTACAAGTAAGCTGCAAACAAATTCACCAGAGCTACATTAAGGCCTACTATTGCTTATCAAAATGCATAAAAACTGTTGTTTTTTTTAAAAAGCAGCAAATACAATTTTCTGGGTCTTCTGCACCATAGTGGTGTTTTCACCCCTGGTTAGGAACCACTGTTGTAGGGAAATTCTTTGACACAGGTGCAGTAACTCGATATCCATGGGAGGTGACTTTTTTAAGGGTTTGTAAAGGACAATGGTGGAAGAGTGAATTTTTTTAATGTGTGTGTTTGTGGGGGGGGGGGGGGGTTTGCAGAGGTTTGTGACCTTATTTTTGATGGGGGGGGAGGTCTAACTTAGGGTGGGAGGTCTAACTTTTTGTGATGATTGGTGGAGGGGGGGTCAAGATCCGCAAAATTTGCGTGATGTCATTTATGGCTGGCCCTTTAGGGCTGAGTGGTTGATTTAGGAAGGAAGGATGGGGTGGGCATCTGGGAAGGTTATATGGGATTAGGGGGGGGGGGCATTGGGGCCAGGGACGATTATCGTGGAGGATTAAGGGAGGCTTAAAAATAATCAGAATGGGAGTAGATAGGAATATAAATTTATCGTTCGTCATTCGCATGCGAACATGTCCAAGCCTTGAACTTGAGTTGTAGCCTTGACTTGAGCTGTATTTTATCTAAAGCGAGGGAGAGTTGCTCAGTTCATCAGCTCACTCTCTCTTCCTTACCAATTTATTACAATGGCAAGACTTAGTCAAGAACTAGACCAGGATGCAGTAGATGATAAGCAGTGTCTCACTGTGCTCTTTATGCGTTCATTATGCCATAGCGCCTACAGGACTCCATCTCAGGTATTGATTTCAGAGTTTGCCTTCTCTTAGATGAGTTGGCATCCAAGATAGGGGTAAATATTATAGCACACAACACCATGTGTGTAATAACCACACTAAATCATGTGTGAAATAACCACACTGCACCATGTGTGTAGCAACCAAACAACACTAGTTATTGAAAATAAAACTGATAATTCTTTACAACATTTCTTATACTTATACTTACTAACAAGAAACTACTTACCTAGTGCCTAGTACTACGATGAGTCAGAGTCAGTCAAAAAGCAAATGATCAACTCCAGTGATATGCTTCATTAGTGAACCCTTTCACATGACATAGGAATGAAGCTTCGGCAATATAGTGATACAACTGTCCATTTAGCAGTTATTGTGAGCAATTTCCATCCACTAATCTGATCTGAATCTTGAAAAATCTGCCTTCTATATTAAATTTTTTTTTAAGGATAGCCATAAATGAATACTTTTTCAATTATTCATAACAGTTTAACATTGGAAGTACTAGACTAGACTGCCTTTTAATTTTCAAACTAAATTATTTCCATAATGTAGGAACTTGCAACGTCTAGAGCCTGGGAGCTCGAACGAACACTGCAATGATAGCGAAATCTTGATGTACCAAAATATTAAGTACAACAAGCACACAAAACTTTTCAGTAATTTTAACTTTAAAAAAAAAAAGTGAAGATATTTTCTTCCAATCTCACGTTAAACCCTATTTGCTGCCGGCTGGCATTGCATAGATACGAAATTACAAGTAGACGCTATCTATAATCTATAGAGTAAGTATAATAAAGAAATTTAAAAAAAAAAAAAGCCATAACAAGGTAAGATTACTACGCTCTTTTGGCTTGGGATAAGTGTAAAAATAAGCATTGAATAGATACGAAATTACAAAGAGACGCTATCTATAATCTATAGAGTAAGTATAATAAAGAAATTTAAAAAAAAAAAAAGCCATAACAAGGTAAGATTACTACGCTCTTTTGGCTTGGGATAAGTGTAAAAATAGTCATCACGGTCAATTCATACTATTGGCATTTATCGTTATCATCACAACGATTTTTTTATTTAACTTGAAGTTGAAGTCATGAGGGTTAAGTTGAAGTCGAAGTACTAGCACTGCACTGGACTGGTATTAGTATTGGCATTGGTATTACAAGGCTTAAGGTATAAGTATTTTAATTGAACGTATTTTATCATTGGACTTTGACTTATAGCATGACATGATTAAGATAATTCGAATACTAATGATAATAACTATTAGTCTAATAGCAATTACTCTAATAATTAGAGTAATTGCTAGTTAAGTTAAGAAGTCAGGGTAGTATCATAAATGTATGCAGTAGTGAGACTGAGAGTAGCCTAGGCAAAGGTTCTGCTGCTGTGAATACTGGGTGAAGTCAAGTCCAAGTTAGTGACTGAAGAACTTTTTTCAATCTTTCCAATTCCAAGCTATTATTATGTCTATTCACTGAGACCACTGTCTTGTTATATAAATTATAGATATTTATATTGATAATATTAATAGAAATAGAAATTATAGGCTATAATATTAATATTAATTAATTTTCTGTTTCGGTTTGATCCTGAAGTGTCAAAGTGTCCTCTTTTTATAGCCATTTTCATTGTTTCTATAGAATAGTAGTTACTATTACTATCCTAGTGTCTCATTTGTATTTACTTAGTTTACATGTTTTAATAATTGTAAAGCGCTTAGAGCTTTATGATAAGCGCTATGGCTATATAAAAATGCCTAAATAAATAAATAAAATATTATATCAATATATCTTTACTATCTGAAATCTCTACTACCGTTACAATTGGCTAAAACTAAAGCACTATTTAGCCTAGGCTTAATTATAATACTTAATATTAGTATGATATTATTTTTGTGAAAATAAAAAGTCTGAAAAGAATTCCTAGCAGTAAGAATAATAGGCCTACATACAGTGACAATCATATAGTAGGCAAAAATTATTTATCTCTTATTCTTAGTCATTATTTCTATTCACTGATAAAATCAGCTGAAATTATCTCCCATCCAAATGAAATTGAGTAGTTTTTACATAACATTAATTATTAATAATAATTTCATTTTGAATTTTATTGAGAATATTAATTAAGATCACAAATCATCCTCTAACTAAGCTCTCCCCACCTCATTTCAAGTAGGTCGTTCCGACATAGTTTACATCCTCTGCTAAGAATCTTGGTTATATTCTTTCTAACAACATGTCTCTCCATAATCATATCTCTCACATTTGTCACTCTGCATACACCGCTATCAGTCAGATCAGCTCCATCTGCCACTACCTCACAGTTAGCGCAACAAAAACCCTAGTCTGTGCTCTTGTTCTCTCTCACCCTGCCTATTGCAACTCTTTTCTGTCAGGTTCACCAAAACACTTCATAGAAAAACTGCAAAAGGTTCAAAACTCATTGTGTGGTGTGAAGATTGAGGGCTATAGAAACCATGGTCAGTATTGAAATAGAATCTGGTTTATCCACAAATGATAATAGCCTAATTGATAAGCCTACCATAGCGTATCTATATCCCCGGAACCAGTATATATCACTATGGTGTAGGCATAGGTTTGGAGAGCAATTCAAGCTCAAAACAAACAACTGTATTGTGCAAGACAGAAATGCCCTTCGTGGCCTTTTCTCCGATTATGTAAAAGGCAATGCATGAAGCAAATGTCTTTAAGTACTTAATTAATGAAAGACCTGATAACTTAGTACTATCAACTTAAGTTATGGATTACTAATGAAAATGATTAGGACCAGGTCCAGCCCTGAAAGTCCCAAGCTTCAGTAGTAAAAACATAGTTTAAAATAATTTTTTGTTTTCAGGTATATACAAATAAGGTATACTTTTGTTTGAATAAAATCATAATTTTCAAATTCTTAACCATAATGGCCTCTAAAATTATTTTAATAATGACATTCTACAATAATCTATGAAAAAAATCAATATTAATAACTTGGGCGACTTGGCTGAGTCTTGAAGTTGTTGAGTTAAATGGTATTTATAAATACATTGATGATTTGCATTGGTCAATTTAAGAGTGTACTGGTTATTGATAAGATGATGTCATTGATTTTTTCTCATTTATCTAACATTTTACAACCTTTTTATATTTGTGTTCCTATGCACCTGGCTTGGCTTGTACAATTTTATTTAAATTTACTTTAACTATAAATTAAAAGTGAAATAAATTGAGACATTTATTTGAAATACGTAGACTGAACATGAATTAACCCATATTATTTTGCTCAGCCCAAAGGGTCTATTCAATACTCGGTACTTCAACATATTTAGTTTTTTTTAGGAGGTTGAGGTGAATATTCAGGGTAAAGATAATTGAAGTTTGATATTTAAACCGTCAATGAAATACATGTGTTCAAAAATAGATTACTCGTCAAATATATTAATATTTTTAATTCATGGTAACTTTCCAAAACAATTTCACAGCAGACATAGCTTTGAATGCAGGGTTTGGAGTGTGCTCACACTGAAAATTCATGACCAACATCCTTATGGAAGAGAAAGGCAAGTTATAATATAAAGTAGTAGTTTAAACGATTTAATTTTTTTGTGGTTAAAGTGTTATTTGGGGCCATCCATAAATGATGTCATGCATCTAGGGAAGGGGGGGGGGGATCACATTTTTGTGATGAGGGGAAGGTAGGGCTTAAGCAATGTGACATCACATGAAAAGCAGAATATTATAGTAAAGAATTTCACTTAATAACCCTAAATTACTGTAATGACATTTTTAACATTATTCTTTTATAAAACAATTACAATTACCCGGTATTTTATTTTGGAACTACAATCACTGAGAGAATCAGTATAGGTATGCAAGGTCGGAAAAATGACCTCTGATGTGGGGGTAGTGACACTGACAGAGCATTTATGTTAAAATGTTAAGACGGGAGTCATAGAATTAGAAAAAAATGGTTGACCTGAGGGGGGAGGAGGTGATATTTAGTAAATGGTCTAGAGCCAGGATTCTTTTTTTTTTTTTTTTTGCAGATATGTTAAAATGTTAAGACGGGAGTCATAGAATTAGAAAAAAATGGTTGACCTGAGGGGGGAGGAGGTGATATTTAGTAAATGGTCTAGAGCCAGGATTCTTTTTTTTTTTTTTTTTCAGCGCTGCAGGCCCACTCCATTTTAACCCTAGCAATGGCAGCAAATACAATTTTATGGTCTTCTGCATCTCAGGGCTGGGGAGGTACTTTTACCCCTGGTTAAGAACCATTGTTCTATTTAAATGTTTCTGACACAGGTGCAGTAATTTGATATCCACGGGAGGTGAATTTCTTAAGGGCAGTAGTGGACAGGGAATTTTTACTGAGGGGGTGCAGAGATTTATGACATTATTTTTGAGGGGGTCTAACTTTTTGTGACCATTTGTGATGATGGTGGGGTGTCAAGAATTGACAAAATTTGCGTGACGTCATTTATGGGTCGCCCTTTTATAAAGAGTACCGATACTTTTTAAAAAGGGCTCATATAAATTAAACTATAACTCCTCATAGTAATAGATTTTGTGTGCTTAGGATGAACATTTATTACATGATGCTAAAGTCAATGTAATTGGAAAAAAATGTACATTGTGGTTGCTCGAGCTGCTTAGGGGTCGTTCGCAAATTACGTCACGCAAAAAAATGATTTTTTTTTTTTACACCCCCTGTCACAAAGTGTCACAAATTCTTTACCCCTCCCCCCAGTGTCACGTCATACCTAAAAAAATTAAAATATTCATTAGATTTTCATAACTAAGCTAAGATTTTATTTTATTCTTCAACATTTTCCCATAATGGATTAAGATGTGGTATTATTAGAAAAATGAGATGCGAAACAACAAAGTCATCCACAAGTCCACAACAGTTTTTGTGTCATTGTTCAATATGGGCAGAAGGTCTGCACGACTGAGTTCATGGTGCCTATACTACCTGAGGCTATTTCGACCTCAAATGAATGTTTCTAAAATTAATAGAATAAAGATCTTTCAAAGTTAGAAAATTTAAGATTTAAGAATAAAAAATTAAAATATTTTAAAAACGTGACATCACAGATTTTTTTTTTAACGCCCCTCCCACGGCAAAAATTCTCGACCCTCCCGCCCCCCTCTGAGTGTGACGTAATTTGCAAATGACCCCTTAGTATATGTGGTTATATAACACTGCTTTGTAATAAATGTGTTAATATATTATGTATCCCTTATATATTTCTTTTCCTTGGTTATAAAATATGTCACTTATTGATTCCTGGTAGCATTAATTATTTATGTCCATCAGTCTGTAATTTTTTTTTTTTTTTTGTGTGTAGAAATTATACACATTTTTTAAAATATAGTATATCATCTATAAAATGGATTATATTTAAATTTAGTAACTTTTGTTTAGTTTTTTGAAGAACTTGCTAGTCTAAAGATTTATCAAGTGCAATAGAAGTAGCGTTATTATTTATGTTCAACCTTATGACATTTGCTGCCCGCCAGCTCCAGGAAAAATGTCAAGACCAACACAGCAGCCTTTTCAATGCCTTTGCTATCTGACCAAAGCATTTGACTCATTCAGCAGACATGGGCCGTGGAAGATAACGGAGAAGTTTGGCTGCCCTGGTAGATTTATTACAATATTACGTCAACAGATGTTCTGGATTCTAGAGATGAGTGTGTGGCTTTAAATTAAACTGATGGTGCAAAGCTGCGTTCTAACTCCAACACATTTTAGCATCATTCTCTCAGCTTTTCTTTACAGTTAAGATAGCATATCAAAATAGACAAGCCAGATGGGCACAACAAGTTGCGAGAATGTAAGACAGCAGATGGCCTAAACAACTAATGTACAGTTAACTTCCCAGAGGAAAATGCTCAACTTGCAGGCAGAAAAAAAATTCCTTAAAGATTGTCTAATCATATCCCTCAATCTACGGCCATGGATCTGAATTCATGGGAAATGTTTGCTATGGATCACCAAAGCTGGTGAGGAAGACTCACTGTTGGATCACGATCTTCAGAAAGTAAATGCACAGCTCACATCAAAAGATAGAGAACAGCAAGGAAAATCGCATCCAATCCCTCCAGGACCTCAAAACATGTGTGTCCTACATGCGGGCAAGCTTTCCGGGCACAAATAGGACTGGCAAGCCACCTGCCTACTCATACCTGACTGTAGCTTCGCATGTCATGGGCAAATAGCAGCAACATTTATGTTCAGCTTACTTATTTCAAATAAAGTTCTCAAATTATCTCCCTTTTCATTTATAGTTAAAGTAAGTATGCTTAGGTTTTCGTTATTTATGGTCAATACCTTACTCAAAAACCTGACTCATTCCCTTTTAAAAATATTCAAAGCTGTATACTATTGTTTTCTTTTTAAGATGTCGCAGGTTAAGAAAAAAAACAAGACGAAAAAACAAAACCTGATTCATTCCCTTTTAAAAATATTCAAAGCTGTATACTATTGTTTTCTTTTTAAGATGTCGCAGGTTAAGAAAAAAACAAGACCTTTAGGATTAATCCGAGGCAAACTGCATCCAGAAAAACTGACCCCCATTCCCAGCCTTAAGGTGGAGCAGCTCAAGAACGGTGTACAAGGAAGTGCAATAATTATTCCAACACCTTTACCTGAGCAAGGAAAGGGCTCAAACCATCAAACTAAAGAAGAATCACCTAATTCAGACAATCACAGCTCTGGTATCAGCAGATCGCCTAAAATAACAGAAGACATATCTCATGAAAAATGTGAACAAGAGATCAAAGAAGGCTTGGTAAGTTTACAATGTTTTGATGATCTTGAGCAGGCCTGTACACTATGCAGCCCTCAGACCGCATGTGGCCCGCCAGCATCCACTTGGCGGCCCACGAAGTAACGAAATATTCTTAAAAATTATTATTTTCTTAATAGCTTTCCCCCACTGTCCTATCATCTTTCGGCCAGCACAAGTTTTTCATAAAGTATTACGGCCCGTCTTACATTTTCAGTTGTGCAGACCTGGTCTTGACAAATGTAATAATTTGAATTATGTAATGCAAATAAAATGCATGGATAACTTATTTCCATTTTTTTCCCCTTGAGTTCCACAAGAGAGGCTTTCACAGAATGATAAAATAGAGCAAGGGAAAACTTTAAAGAGCATCAACTAAAGTATTAAGTAAATGCTTTCAACTGAGTTTTAATTTAATTTTTTAAAAATAATTTCGTAGAAGAGGGAGAAAGATCTAAAAGACCAACTTAAACAGCTTCAGAGGCAACTCAATGAAGCAAAAAGGGCATTGACAATGAAGGAAGAGGAAAGCAGAATGTTGCATTTACAGCTCACTGAGCAGGTAATATAGAGATTTTCCAGTCTATATTTCAGTATCTAGTAACAGAATTAAAATTGAGCTAGATCCAGTTATCCAGTCAAACTTGAATAAATGTTATAAAGATTGTTTTTATTTTATAATTCTTGAAGGAAAAAGAGATGTCTTCTCGACTGGCCCAAGAGAAGAGTCTTCACGAATCAACACAATATAAATTAAAAGAAACACAAGAAGATTTAGAACAGACTCAAGAACAACACGGGATAATAATAGAAAAACAGCGGGAAGAAATGAACCAGCAGATAATGAAAGTAAGAAGAGTTAGAACTTAATCAGAAGACAATATTCTTATTTATTTCCCCAACAGATTTGAAAGATCCTTATGATTTTCATGTATTTGTTTTGAATAAATATCTAAAAAAACAAGGTCGATCATTTGCTGTCTTTACTGTTAAATGAATGCATGAAGTATGTCTGCATATATAAGTAACAAATCACTTCTAAAAAGTTTCAATTTTAAAACCATGTGACAATGAACAGTTTCTATAAAATCTCATTCATTGTGAATAATAGATGAATGAACTTACAAAATATAAATAAATATTATTCAGAATGAAACATACTGCTGACATATAATGCTCTTGTTGAGAAATGAAGAAGTAAAACAAAGAAAAGTAAACAGTTTACCAAGATTAACCAGCTTCACTACACTCCTGTTTATAGTTAATAGTTTCATTCATAAGACTTTTTATCTTTACTCACATCAGCTTGAGTCATTGCTGTCAGAGAAAGATGCCATCATTGCGGACAGAGATCAAAAGCTAGTCAAGTTAAAGGCTCATATGGCGGAGGCCCTTAAAGGAAACTCATGGTATATATTAATTTACATATTAAAAACTTATAGGTTAATGTATGTGTGAATTGTTTCTCTGTTGACAGTAAAGGATTTTTTTTTCAGTTTTGAAATAATATATGTGGCGAAATTGTTGTCTAGGGGTAGGGCCCTATTCCAACGACCACAGACACACTATCAAACCAGAGCCCAAACTCCGTTTTCTTTCTTTCTGATAAAAAAAAACTTCACGATAGAGTTTGAAGTAACAGGTATAGGTTAATTACTAATGTGTCGTGCAAAGACAAAAATGCACGACAAACAAACCATAAAAAAATACTGTTCATCTTTGAAATAGTTTAACTTCCTAGAACTAGTGTAACCAATCAGTCATTTCTTGAAACAAACACAGCCTGACGCCCATAACAAAATATCTGCATTCATCTTCTCCACACCCATACATCGCACTCCCGGAAATGCGTCATAGCGCTTTCATGACTGAGAAAGAGTGGTGCGACACATGGGGAAGTCCTTAAAGAAAATATCATAGCTCAATGTTAAACTTAATAAACCAGACATATAGCATAAACACACGATATGACCGTGACAATATATTAATGTAATATAAGTAACAATATTATCATGGAAAAAAGATTCTTCTGTGGATTCCATGTCAATTTAGCAGTTTATTTTTTTTCTTGGTGAAATGTTTAAAAAAATTTTTTTAAATGCACCAGGGACTGTTTCAGATTTATCAATTATATTTTCTTTTTATTTGACCATGAATATTCATGTTGTGCTGACTGGCAATATAAGCCTTGGGGACTGGTGCCATTTGGGTAATGCTGGTTTAGATGATAGACAAAATTTTTAAAATTTGGAGAGAATTTAAATTAAAAATTATGCAAATGGTAATTTCATGAAAGCATCCTTCCTTATTTGTTTTAATGCAAGGCTTTACTTTCAATTTTCAGGGAGCGCCAACAACAGCTTGAAGAGTTAACGAAAGAGATGTTGCGTATTCAGGAAGAGTGTGATATTTTGAGAATGAAAGTTAAAACCTTGAACAAGACTAAACAAGTAATCAAGTCACATTGAGGACTCAATGAGCTTTAAGTAACTTGCCCTAACCTGGAATAAATCATGCATGGCAGCCGGCTGGAATAAAACATATATTATGTCAGCCTCCTGAAATAAAATCTTGTACATATAACTAATTTCAAAATAATAACATACTGGTGCATAAAGAAATGTACTGTTATTTTATTATCATATAATATTGCCACAATTCATAAAGATTTTTAACAAAATTGCCTTTTTGCAAAAACCACAAACAAATTAAGTAATGAAACATCAGTGGTAATTCCATGCATTAAAAAGTGTGTATTTTGAATGTTAATTGTTTATATTGATGATATACAAGCAAACAGAAGTATGTAACATAACAGTGATAGTTGCTCATTCAGAAATAGAATATTTAGTGCTAGTAATTAATGACTAAATAGTTCTTACTAAATATTATTAAATCTGAACTACTGAACTATTAATTGTTAAAATTATTTCTTAAGGAACAAGTTAGAGTTCTTCTTTCCCTTATTTGGTTCTAGTTGTTTATAGGGCATTTTCTCAATTTATCTCTGTTCTGAACACTACTAACAGTCATTTTTTTTATGACATATAGTTGGTGAATTATGCTCCTGATCAGTTTCAAATCCTATACCAACACTGGGAAAGTTACAGTTATTCCTTAATTAATCTTACTTCTGGTTGTTGTTCTCAAGAACCTTTTTCTTTAATTTTATTTTTTTAAAGGAAATGAATACTGGTACACATCTATCAGTTTATCTTTTTCTGCTCTAGACAAATTGACAGGAACCAAATTTTGTCCAAATTTAATAGTTTTACAAAATTAACTACCATTGATTATGCTAATCCTTCTGATGCAGCAAGAAACTCACAATTTGATCGTTAATTCATTTAGATTTACCAATTTATCTTAATAAGAAAATAATTTTTTTATTGTCAGGCTAGTGCTTTAAAAAAACTACTTTGTTCCTTCTTTAAATAGATATGTCATTATCATCATAACTTATAAAACCATGTCTTTAGCCTAAAAATTATGTACCCACTAGACAACTCCGCTCAACCGATAGTGGCAAACTCTCGACACCACGTGTTCCCCTTGAGACTTACAGAAAGCGCACTTTTGCATTTGCTGGCCCAACAATTTGGAACGCCCTTCCTATTGCTCTCAGAAACATTCAAACATTGGAGTCCTTTAAAACCGATTTAAAGACACATCTATTTCGCAAACACCTTCTGGGATGATGTTGTCTACCATATTTTCCAGTTAATGCATATTGACTGTGTTGCTTATGGTTGAAATGGGTAGAAAGACTTTGACTTGGTATGCTTGTAATTAGTTTTTGTAGAGTTGCGTTTGTTTTAAATGTGGTAAATTATAGATAAATATGATTGACTTTGTACCGCGCTTCAAGCCTTTGGGGATGAAGCGTGTTTTTCAAATAAACTTTATTATTATTTATTATTATTATAACATTTTTACCATAATTTTTTTTTACAATTCATTGTTGATAAAAATAAATTATTATTTTAAGGTATTGATTTATTCATTTCCAATGTTGTATAATATTTTTCAATCAACTGGATAAATCAAATAAAAGTATGGCTTTTTTTTTTAGTTGTGTAGTCTTCTATACATAATCTTATTTATATCAGGCAATCATAATTTTTAAAGTTTACTATATTTGAAATGTACATTTTAGTTATACAATAACTTAAATGCATGTTTCATTATTATTATTCATTTTTATGCATTTTATTTAGTTTATGACTTTTTTTTAATTGACTAACATTCTAAGAAGGATGAGATAGTGGTGCAGACCAATTTTTAAAATTCATCTAATGGAAAAAACTACACTAATATGACAACTTTTGAAAATAAAATATTAGCCATAGCATAAACTATTCTTATAGTGTGGTTATAACGCAAGTAATCATTTTTGAAGCATGTTTAAAATAACAGTTACTTTTTATTAGAAGTCTTCTCACATTGCCTTCGGTGTAATATTTCTAAAGTTGACTCAATTATCAACTGCTTATATGTATAATGTGCTAAATTTTTTTCAATGCAGAAACAAGTAATGCTTTAGAAAAGTTCATCTCAGTTGTGAGCCAAACTATTAAAATCATTTAAATTAATGAGTTTAACAGGAAAATATCTTAAATCAATATATAATCTTCTAAAATTTAAGTAAGTCAACATTTTGAAGTGAACTAAAGCACATATTTGTCTAATTATGAAGTAGGACAATGTTAAGTATTTATTCACAGCAACATATCCCCTTAAAATCACTCCAATTTATAGTTATTAGATTGACTGTGATATTAAATGTACATTATTTATATTTATTTTATTTTTTTATTACTTTTCGCTAAGATAAGTTAATTTATTAGTTCATCGTTTTGTTCAAATAAATTCAATTTACCCGTTAAAAATGTTCTTTTTTTCTATTAGAATTATTGACTCTCAAAGCAGTGCTGCCATTTGCCTGTTAAATATTAATATAATTTTTAAAATGTTCATTCTTTGATGATGAAAGCATTATTTCTTATTTCTTTAAAAAAAACTTTTAAAGCTTCTTATTGTCTCACTATTTGAAACTTTTAGAGAAGACTTTTTAAGAGTAGGAAGTGGTGTTTTAAATGTGTGATATCCATTTTTTTTTAATGGTAAAAATTTTTGAAAAATTTAATTTATACGTAATTATGTGCCTTAATTAATAATTTCATTGGCTTTTTAACTGATTAGTTAAATAAATTGCTCTAATTCTAATTGACCATTTTTGTCAAGTTATTAAAGGATTCAAGCTTTTTAAAATAATTTTTACTCTGATTTATTTTTGTATCAATGTAGTACTTGCTTTACATACAAGATCTGCCTTAAGGAATTACCAATTCAATAGTTGTGATGTTTTTTGACTGTGTTTGACATAGATGAAAAGGAAAAAATAATGAGTTGCTCATAAATAAATATACATATAATTATAATATTATTAAGTAAAATTAAACTATTAAATTTAAAAAAAAGACTGTTATATTCTAAACTACAAAACTTTATTTGTGGTATTTGTAGAATATTATAATAATTTAGCTTCTGTTTCAGTGTGGCTTTCAATTCCCTTTATTACATCTAGCTATTATTCCACGGCTGTACAACCCCGGCGACCATTTTTTTATGCGACTCATGCGCTATCATTTCACAACCGGGCTAATTATTTTTGCATTTAAATATGACCATTTGTGTACTAAAACGTTAGTTGGGCATTTGGAGAACCCTTTTTAAAAGGGGTCACTTCCGTTAATAATATAACCTTTAGAATTTAGCACTTGGAAAGAAATTTATTGATTATGATACAACTTCATAACCCAGTTAGTTTCAACGGTTCATTAACTACGAAAGTTTGGCTTAAACTTTCAAAACTGCTAAAATTAACTTGTTCATTAAATTTAAGTCATTTAAGTAGGCAAAGTGGGTTAGTGAATTAAACGGCGTTAAATAATAATAAAGTTAAGACTTTTACTTTTAAGTCTTAAACTTAAATAAATACTCTTTTTTAAAATTATAAAAGTCGCTAAGTCAAATCGACCAGTAAAATGCTGTAAGGTAAGAACTAATTGAATTATATTACGGTAAAGTCAAGTATTGTCCTATTATATTGTAAATAATAATTGATGTTGCCAGGTTATTGATAAATCAGCTTCTAAAGAAAAAAAAATAAAATAGTTTAAAAAAGAATTCCTTAGTTTAAGTTTAATATATTTTCCCCAAAAATTCTTGATAAAAATTGGATAACCCAGTACTTTTCCCGGATCCAAAATTCTTTAAAATGATATAAATCACACAATCTATTTAACAAAGAATGAAAGAAATGACAGCAAACGGCATATTTTCCCATCACATATGGCATACTATATATAATATGCTATGTTTTTTTACATTTTCAAGTGGAAAAAAAATTGAACAAAAGACAAAAGGGCACATATAGCTCTGCAATATAAAAAGAATAATGAGTAGGCTTTATTTTCTTACCTTCTCCCGGGTGAAAGTTACAAGTAACCTCCCCCCTTCACCTTGGGAGACAGACATAGAGACGTGAGTTTTTTAGGTTACAATACAGTGGATACCAGGGCACGTCAACATCAGTGGCAATGAGAGAGCGGACACTCTGGCGAAAACCGGGGCTGCCCAGCCTCAGCCAGAAGTACCAATGACTTACTTGGGAATTAAAAACTGGCTGGCGGACCACTACAGGCAGAAGTGGTAAAAGCAATAGGCTGACAACACGACCGTCAGAGGCGTCTATTCAAACTTGCCCACTCCTAGCAAACAAGACCCATGGTGGGGTTAGGACGCAGAACGCAGAGTTTAGTGACGCAGATGCGCACCGAGCACTGCCTCTTGCGCACATATTTCTGGCGGCTGGATAATAACAGGGATCCTACCTGCCGGCATTACAGCCTGGCCCCGGAGACCATAGAGCACCTGTTGACCGAATGTCCCTCACTAGATCTCCCGGGGGAAGCTAGGGCGGTTGGAGGACCCTTTGTGAGGAAAATGTTGTATGGCTCAGCTCAACAGATGTCGTTGATAGCCAATTTACTAGCCGGGGTCATAAGAGAGTAATCTCAGACCCTCACCAGAATATGTGTGTTAGTTAGCTCTGCAATGATTTTTAACCAGCAGAAAAATGATGTATGCCTATGCTGTTTAAGAATTAGGAATATGTAAATAATAATATGCATGAGATAATTATGAAATAGAATTTAATTTTACCAATTCTTCATTACAAATAACAAGGCTGAATTAAAAATATATACATCCAATCCACAGATTAAAGTCATTTATCAAAGTTTAAAAGCTTAAGTAGAAGGTACTCAAGAATGGTGGTGCCAATCACTCAAGGTCGACGAGTTATTGTGTCTGGAATGGGGGTCATTTCTTGTTTAGGTGTGGGAGCACAGTATGTCTGGGAGCAGCTGTTGGCAGGGAGATGTGGAATAACCAACATTAGAGACCAAAGTTTGTAACAAATTTACCATTTAATAACATATATTTATAGATACATGAATAACACTAAAAATAATGTTTTTTTAATGGAATTTAGGGGGGGGGGGAATTCTTATACATTTAAGACATTTAAATTCTATGCAAATGACAGCATTATCAACACATTTAATGAAAGTAAAAAAAGAAAAAGTCATTAAAAATAAAAAATGAAAATAATTTTCTGTAGGCTTTGAACAGATACCCAGCAAAGTTGCAGGGCTGGTTCCACATGGTATTAAACCAGGAGAGTTCAATTCAGATCTTGTGCCAAAAATTGATAGTAGAGCTGTCACTCAAATGACACAGTATTGTCTAGCAGCTGCAGAGGAGGCTTTAGTAATGGCTAAATGGAAGCCTAAACTCGAAGAGGAGAAAGAAAGAACAGGTATTTCAGTTGCATTTATTCGGTTTCAAAGTGATTGTAACTATTGCAACCATTTGTTTTAATTTATTGTTCTTGCATGAACAAAATCAGAAAAAAACAGTTTAAAAAAATAAATGGTCCACTTTTCACATGTGATCTTTATTCTTACTAGTGAAATACTAGGCATACCAAGGAATTAATTCAATGAAGCTTTAACTGAGATAACAAATTGGGTAAACTTAAACATCTCAGAATTGTAAGCTCTTATTGGTTTGAAAGTTTAATGTTGTGTGACACATGATTATTACTAAACACTTAGATTATTAGATTATTTAGACTTAATTAAGTGGAATTTATGTTCATAATGTAATGAATACTTCCAAGTCCTCCATATGTTTTTTTTTGATGTATGAAACTTATTTAACCGTAATACACAATGCAACAAAGAAATAAAGGAATACAATATTTTTGCTCTATTCAAGGTGTTTGCATTGGCACAGGAATGATTCCCTTGGAAGAAGTTGTCATTAATGGGGAGCAACTTAGACAAGGAAACTATCGCAAAATTTCTCCATGGTTCATTCCCAGAATACTTGTTAATATGGCTGCTGGTCATGTTAGTCTGGTCTATGGTTTTCAGGTACAGTCAGCAAATGGAAATGGTCTCATTAATTGTATGATATTTTTGTAGATATCACTAACCAGATTGCTTTTCCTGATATGGTATTTCAACACTCCCTCTTTAACCATTCTTGGGATAAGCACAACAGACATCAGATTCAAGTGTCCACCCAGGATGTACCCCCATTATCCATCCAGGGGCTGACAGCACTATGAAATATTAGTCATTACTTGTTCACCTGTGACCAGTTATGCTCTTTTAGTTACTTCATGCTAGATACTAGATAAGCCTTTATTAGATATATCTTCTTAAGCTTTTACTTGTATAATTTTGTATAAATTATAAATAAATTTATTCATTTAGTTTACTTTGTGTTATTTTTTTTCTGTGTTTCAAGCTTTAGATGGGTTAATTTATTTAAAAAATCCATGAGTGGAAGGTGGGACCGTAAACCCATATATAACCTTACTACTTATAGTTAGAAGAGGCTTACATGACAAAAAATACCTCTTACATGAGGCCCAACCTGACAATTATAGCGGTGACATAGGAGCCTTTTTTTTTTCCAACACTGCAGTTTACTAATTTGTTGCCTGCTATCTTTAAAGCACTATGTAACAAATTTTCAGGGTAATAATGTTTAACCATGTAACTTTTCATAACTATAACATTTCAGGGACCAAATCATGCTGTCTCTACTGCTTGCACCACTGGACTCCATGCTATAGGAGATGCTTCAAGATTTATTCGCAATGGAGATGCTGATGTTATGGTTGCTGGCGGCTGTGAGGCATCTGTCACCCCTCTTGGTATGGCAGGATTTGCCCGCATGAGAGCTCTCAGCACCAACTTCAACTCAAGTCCACAGCAATCATCCAGGCCATTTGATAAAGCCAGAGATGGATTTGTCATGGCAGAGGGCGCTGCAGTGCTCATACTAGAAGAGCTGGAACATGCTAGACGGAGGGGTGCTCCCATCTTTGGTGAGATTTTGGGATATGGGCTATCTGGTGATGCTAGTCACGTGACCGCCCCGAGCGAGGATGGAAGAGGTGCAAGGCGTTGCATGGAAGCTGCTTTGAGGGATGCTAAGATCAGTGTAAAAAAGATTGGATATGTCAATGCTCATGCCACTTCCACCCCTCTGGGAGATGCAGCAGAGAGTAGGGCTTTGTTAGATGTATTTAAAGACCATGCCAGAAACATTCTGGTTAGCTCCACAAAAGGTGCAACTGGTCATCTGCTGGGTGCTGCCGGTAGCATAGAGGCTCTCTTCACAGTTATGTCAGTTAACACAGGATTTGTCCCCCCAACGGTCAACCTGGAGACCCCTACGACTGGATGTGATTTAAATTATGTCAGAGATTCCAAAGCTGTTTGGGATGGTAAAAATAATCCAAGAATCGCATTAACCAACTCGTTTGGATTTGGAGGGACCAACGCAACAATCTGTATTTCTCAATATCAGCCTTCATAAAACTTACTCCCACATCAAAAAGCAATGCCACATTTCTCATCACTTCTTTACTCAGCCAGTTCTGATACATTTTATACAGTTAATTAAATGGCAGGCAAAGTGTCATAATCTGAACCTTTAAAAAATAACCCTACTATTATTTTAAAAAATTATATTATTGTAATGAGTTCTTCGTGCACAGTGGTGAAAGGATTTGCATTTATGCAATGATTTTTTTTAAATAGTGTTCTGTGTGTGTTTTTACAATTTTAATTTTTATGTACATATTTAGGTGTGATTGTATTAATATGAGTTTGTTAAGAGACTGTAGACTTGTGTATGGTTTTTTTAAAGTAAGAACTGATTAAATAAATGCTATTGCATTAACTATATACATATTTGTTCATTTCATTAGCTTGATTGAAATTATTTTAAATTTGTGTGTACTATATGCTTTTCATTCTATTATTTTTAGATGGTGTTGTATGTTAGAAGCAGTTGTGTGCTGAGTGAAAAATAATTAATTACTTTTATAATTAATTATTTTTAATGTGTATTTAAAATTTTAAAAATATATTTTCAATCTTTTATTTATATAGACATGGAGAAAAACAATTCCATCCAAACAAATCATCAGTTACTTTGTAAATAAAATAAAAAACTCACTACAGTTTAAAACAAAGGTGAAGGATGCTAGAAAATAGGTTTCATCACCAGAGGCCATACAGACACTAAAATCACCATAAATATATCAGGTAGAATATGTTACATCTAAGCGCTTAATTCTTAAACAGCCTTCCTTGAGAGTGACTTTGATTTTCTTTTTAAAAAAAAAGTTTATCTGAATCATCCCCGTCCAAAATAGGTTCTGATAACGCTCTAAGGAAACCAGTTATTAATTGGCTTAAAACATCCAATCATTGAAATCTTATTGGACTACACTACAAGTAAAATTTTCAACTTCAAAAAAATATTTAATATGGGGTTAAAAAAAAATTATTTGTAAAAAAAAAAATCTATGTCCACATAAATGCAATATTAAAATTAAGCTATAAAGCAACTTCAATAGCACTGATATGGGGGTCCATGTTCAAATGAAGAGAAATAGTAATTGAACAATTAAATTTACAAAATTAAGAGAAATCATTAACAGCTGTCTAGACATGAAATTTCTTTCTTAAATCTGTATAACATTTATAAAATAAATAATTCTTTATAAATAATTCTTTATTGATTCTCTAAAGCAGTTACATGATGTTTTTTAATTGATGAGTTTATTTTTTTGTTTTGCTGGCATCCGTCCGTCACAAAGTGACGATGATATAGGCTTCGGAGGCCGAATTCCACAAGGCCCGAGTTCATTTGGTATACCTATAAATATTTGAGACTTATCCATGTCAAACATTTATAAATCTATTTGGGGATTTTTAAAGTTTTTTTTTTTTTTTATAGCAGTTTCTTGACTATGTAATACAAACATATTAACATAATGCTTTAAATTCATGACAATCTCTCTCTGTTAAGAACAACAACAGATTTTCCCATTAAAAACTAGTTTCAGTTTTCTGTATTTTATACATACTAACCAGCAATTCTAATTGGAACTTTAACCTGAAAGGAATATTAGTTCTATGGCTAGATCTTAAACAATATTCTGATAAACTATGTTTTGAAACTTAATGTAAGCAGAAACATCGGCTCTCTAAGACCTTTATATGATAATAATTTATTTTTTTTTACAGTTAAAGCACAAAAACAAATTTTAAAATCATAAAGATCATACAAAGATGATGGCTGACATTAATGTAGGCACAAATTCTTGGAATGTTTACAAGCCAATATAAAATCTTTGATAATTTCAACACAGATAAATACTATATGAAACAAGCCAAACACAACATTGAAAGATGTAAATCTGTTATAATAAGTTATCTATATATAGGAGTAAAAGACATTAAATTTCTGCTTAGCATTTCAGAATCAAAAAGGCTTACAACAAAAAAGACTAGGGTTCGATTTTTTGTACATGTCTTTAAAAAAAAAATTAAACATAAAATCAACATAATATGGAAACATGCTTAATAATAAAAGTCAGAACTTAATTAATGATCCTTATTACATTACAATAATTTACAATAACATAAATCTTTCGGTGGGGCTTGTTTAAGCAACTGTTTTCTTTTTGCCTTTCTTGGCAAACCACTCATCACTCTTGTCTGCCTTCATAGCCTGGAGGAGTGAATTGAAGGTGAACATTTATAATATTGTAACCTGCAAATATCTCAAAACATCTCTCTTCAGTACAGCCCCAGTAAATTTTATATTAAAATCTGTTTTCTGTATTTTAGATATATATTGAGACAATTCCATATTAACTTAATATTTAAGGATAATATTATATTATTTACTTCATCCAGCAATATATCAGCATTAGGATCCACCTGTGACAGTTTTCTGAAAGATTCATCTCCAACAAAACATATTTCATGTCCATCCTGCAATGTTGAAAAACCCAAAAGTTTAAGTATATCAAAAGAAAATGATTTGTGTATTTGTAGTGCTCGGGTAAATTTGTGCTCTTCTTTTAAAGCAATAATATAAAAATTAATATTAACAAAATAATTTTAAAAATTTGATATTTCAATTTTCGCAGAGCTAACATTTTTTCCTCTTTTACATTTAGTGGTATTATTTTCTTTTTAATGCCTTTTAAAGCTTCAATTTCTTTTTTAAAGCTTAAATTATTGTTCATATATTTTTTCTTCCATGTTAACTTTCACCATCTAAACTTACGGGATCTGCTAAAATGACAACTTGCACTGTAGCTTTTCCTGGCGTGTCCAGACTAACCAAAGGTGTGAGAATGGTCTGCTTTTTGTCTTTCATTGTTTTTTCCAGTTTTGGAAGCTTTAGAGGGCAACATTAGGTGTGATTAAACCTTTCGAAAAGACATGTACCTTTCTAAACTATGCCCTGTCTTTTGATACATGCCCCAGTTCATCGTTGGTTAATAAATATTAAACTCGATAACAAAAGACTGTGGCAAACACTTACATTTTGTGTACTTGATAAGATAAAAATAAATAAATAAACAGCTTAAAATATATTTTTGAAAAATTCATTTAGCTGGACATCTATAGGATCAAATTAAATTAGTTTCATGACTGACCTCAGAGCTAGGACAAGCAAAGGCTATTCTCCCAAAAGCTGTGCCATGATCCACTGGTTCACCTATATCTACCAGTTCTAACCTGCACTGGCAACAACAAAAATAGTTTTGTTGGCTTGGGACAAATGAATGACATCTATCCGGAGTTTAATTTACAAATAAAAAGTCAATCAACACTTTCTTCCACAACCTGTCTTCTAATGTAATAATGACTGACTTAATAAACTTGCAATTTGTTTATTTTTTCATGCAAATGTAATGTTAATGTAATTTTAGACTAGTATTTACATTAGAGGTATTTTTAAAATAACATTTCACAAACATTTAAGATGCAGCAGAGTTAAAATTAATAGATTACCTGGTCATGCTCAAATCCAAGTTCTGCCGATTTGTTATTCAGACTGAAGATTTTCATCCCACATAGGCCACTCCAGAAATCTTTTCAGGGTTACAAAGTTACAAATTTTATTGAATTAAAAACAAACAACAAACAAAACAAACAAAACCAACAAATAGCATGCATAAGTTTTGCTCGAAGTAAAAGAAATATTGCCGGGCACCACAAGAGGAGGGAGAAGAAGAGGAAGACAAAGAAAAAGAAAGGAAGATAACATCAAAGACTAACACTGGGCGATGCAGTGTGTAGTGCTGAAGACAGAGAGGAATGGAGGAGGATGGTTCACATGTCATCTGTGGCGCCCCAACGGTCCAAGGGACATGAGGATGAGGAAAAGAAAATAATGTGTTTTTTGACTTCTTAATCTTCATAATCTGTAGAAATTAACAATTTTTTTAATTAAAGTATTTCTTACCCATTGACTTTTTCAGGTTTGATGATGCCAAGGACACCATTTTAACTGGATCTGAAGAAAAGATGGGTTTCCTAAATTTTAATAAAATTAAATGACCAAAGATAATTTTGCAACATATTCTATGAAATCTTTTAAATTAATCCAATCCAGATACAGATAAGGAAACAGATGACATAAATGAAAAAATCATTTCGCTCACCTCCATGTGATCTTTTTGGGATGATTTTAAATTTATAACCATCAGGGGAGGTCAACACACTAACCCCATCTTCTTCCAATGTGACTTGGTGACCTAATGCTTTGGCTTTATCCAAAATGGTGGTGGAGTGTACAGTGATGCTCTACAAATAATTACATGCAAATATTATTGCTGGCTGGACTGAATTTTGGTGACAGGTGAAAGGGTGGAGGAGTTAAGTATTCTGAGTGGACTTAATTTACTGTCCTTTTTTTTTTTTGGTAATGTGAGTTGCAAATTAAAACATGATCATTCTAAAAGATATAACTTCTGGGGAACAAACCAAAAAATCATTTCCCAACTTGTAACTTCCAATGCCATAATTGTAGGTCAGTTCAATTACAAAATGACTATCCTCTGGTCCGTAGCCCACCATTGACTTGCTCCATTTACCATCATAGGGGCTAGGCAGAAAACAATAAAGTTAAGGATTATTATTAAATCAGATAAGAATAAGAGCTCAAATTTTTTGTAGGCATGAAAATTCTTCAATTTCTTAGTTTAAAATTTGTTAGATTAAGATTTATTATCATTTTATTTTAAATTGATCACATAAAAAAAAAAAAGCAAATCTTTTTTCATAAAACAAACTTAAGATCTGATGAGCTTTACAGTTTAAACATAACTTTTCAATTTTTCTTGTTTCTCCAGCACTTATTTTGATCATATACATTTATATTTTGAGTAAAAGGACATTTGAAGTTGACCAGTAGGCCTACATGTCATAAAAATAACATGAAACTGACCTGTATCTAAACAAGAGTAGAAAGATATGATTAAACTATGAGGAATAACTTTATTTAAATGTTGCTAACAAAATATAGGTTTCGGCCAGAAGCGGTGGAGGTGGATTGGTCATACACTAAGAAAACCTGCTTCTAACATAACAAAGCAAGCCCTGAAATGGAACCCACAGGGTAAGCGGAAAAGAGGCCGTCCAAGAAACACTTGGCGCCGAGAATTGGAGACAGACATCAAGAAAATTGGCCATGAATGGAAGATGGACCTCTTCGACCGGGTGGATAGAGATGCCTGGAGGTCTCTCGTAGGTGGCCTATGCCCTTGGAGGAACCGCAGACGCCGACGATGATCGGTGGATGCCCCTCATGGACGAGAAGGCTCAACAACAACAAAATATAGGGGTGTCTAAATTTTGGGATGATGAGGGGAGGGGGGGAAAGCTAACAAAAATACTGTGATATCATTCATGGATGACCCTTAATACTTCGATTTTTAGACGAACGATTTTTAAAAATAATTGTAGATTGTCACGGGATAAAAACATAATATAAATTAGGATTTTTATTTTTTCTGCTTTAGATGTTGGTGGAAGTACATTGTAACATTTTGCATTGCCTATTCAACATATTTTTTGTCTTTCTTATTCACTTTTTTATATTATAGAATTGCTTACCCATTGCATGATGCTTTGCAGCCCTCCTCAAATTCTTCATGACGGAGAAACTGGAATATAATAGAGAAATTCAACAACATTTAAAGCTTAGAAAAAAATCCACAAAACAATTATTAAGGATAATTTAAATTGTTAGAAAATTCACACTGTAATTAATGTGGGCCTACTTCTTTCCCCCATTTTCGATGGGTGACATTGATTAGTATTAATAGCATTGAACTTAGAAGTAGGAAGCATAAAACCAAGCCATCACACATACACTACAAGGCCAATAAATATTAATTTTTTATTATATTCAAGACAGATTTATCAAAGTCCTTGAGCCTAGCATCGATATGATCAATGATCTTAACATACAAATATATTTATTAATAATAAACATTATAATAATATACTGATTGCCTTGAACCCAACATTGTTGAGAATTACATAGCTGCTTAGAACAAGTTATAGTTATATTAGGCCTATTTATAGATAGCCAGTGGTTGGCAAACTCATTAATCAAAAGAGCCAAAAATCAGCAGCAGGACAATTAAATTTTTTTTTGAGAGCCAAATTTCTTTTCAAGAACCATGTTTTTGAGAGTCAAAACCGATTTCTGGCCGAGCCGCACTCAGGTCGTTAAAGAGCTGCATGCCTATACTATAGGCTAATTGAGAATAATTAACTAATAAGAGGGTTGGACTATGATGAAGCTTTCTATGTCAAGTAGACTAATGAGACACAAATAATTTTTGTCAATAAAACAATGCATGTTAAGCTTTAATTATGATTAGACACAAGAAACACTGGTGGTCATCTACTGCATCCTGGTCTATTTCCAGACCTCTTGACCAAGACTTGCCATATCAACAAATAGGCAAGGACGAGAGAGTGAGGCTGACGAGTTTAGCAAGTCTCCCTTACTTTAAGCAAAATACAGCTAATTTCAAGTTGAAAATTGACTTGGTCATCTTAATGTGTGAAGGATGAACAACATGATTAGACAATATACAAATTCAAATGTTTCAGCAAATGCAACAAAAAACAATATAATTATAAATTAAATTTACATAATAAAATATATAATCGACCTTTGAAAGTTCTTTGTTTTCATTAGTTAGTAGGGCTGGGACTTGTCTTGTGCCTGTTCTTATTCTTTTCTTTCATATTTTAGGTACATGTTGTTGGCTTTGTAGGATATCATATGATTTCGTTTTGTATAGACATAGTAGTAACTTGGTGTATTGTCAAATTCATAATTAGCTTAACATAATATCTATATTATATTGTATGATAAATTTACAATGTTATTGTTTAATTTACACAAATTCCAAATTGTGTCTCATTAATCAATGAGAATAATTTTTAATTATAAAAATTCGCAGAACAAATTGACTAGATTGATATTTTCATTATTAATTAATAATAATTATTAAATTGATTAGCCTGGATATTAATTACTAGGGCCCAGGGCTTAACCAGGTGCAATTTTTTTACACCAGGTCCGGGCATCTTGAGAACATACCCGGTAGATCCAAGTGTTACAAAAAAAGTGTTTACCTCTCCTTTTCTATAACTTATAATATAGGAATAATATGATATGCTGGCCTTTAAACAATAATCCTTCAGACAGTCATACAGCCTTCCTGTCAGCCTTTAAACTGCAATAGGCCTACTCATACTCAGTCATACTGTCACTACAGTTACAGTACAGTCCTACACACTACCTGCCTGCATTTAAACAATAGTCCTGCAACCAGTCCTAAAGAAAGCATACCCGTGGCTCTTAAAAAGTCTTCATGATCATGTGTGACGCTTGATAGCTTTTTTTTTTTTTTTCACTCAGTACTTACTTAATTATTAGGCTGATATTAAGGAGGGATGCCAAGGCGTCTTTTGTGTGTTTATTAAAGTTGCAGTGAATTAGGGTTTAGGTTAGATTGGGGGATCGTTTTAGGGTTAGGCATAGGGATCGTTTTAGGGTAATAGTCCTGCAACCAGTCCTAAAGAAAGCATACCCGTGGCTCTTAAAAAGTCTTCATGATCATGTGTGACGCTTGATAGCTTTTTTTTTTTTTTCACTCAGTACTTACTTAATTATTAGGCTGATATTAAGGAGGGATGCCAAGGCGTCTTTTGTGTGTTTATTAAAGTTGCAGTGAATTAGGGTTTAGGTTAGATTGAGGGATCGATTTAGGGTTAGGCATAGGGATCGATTTAGGGTTCATGTAAGGGTTAGGCATAGGGATCGATTTAGGGTTCAAGTTAGGCATAGGGATCAATTTAGGGATGCATTCGTGAAATTCGATAAAAATGTGGCATTCGTCCTTAAAATTTACCAATTATTAATATTGTTTATATTTAAATATTATAGTTATAGGCCTAATATTTAGGGGAAAGGCCGGTTGTGAAATGGAAGCAGTCACAGTCACACCAGAAGCAAAATATGTATACGATAATAAAAAATATATATCTGGATCACTTGTACTATGACTAGGCAGTACTAGGCTGAATGATGGCAATGGATGATTTTACATAATAATTTAATATTTAAAATTTACTTTCATGCCGAGAACATCGCGGTAAAATTTGGCAGTTTCCGAACGATTTCCAACTTTAAAGACAAAATGAAGCGCTCTTTTACTTTCAACTCCAGACATTTTTTGGTAGGTTCAAATGTATATATAGAAATATATATAGAAATCAACAAGAAACAATTGTAAATCGTATATCTGTAGCCTCTGGAATCAACGTAGTAAATACAGCCACCACTACAGAGATCTCTTTTCTACTTTCACTTTTATTATAATATGCTTTGATTTGCGGACGATACTTTTCTTAGACAGAAGTCGGACTCGTTTTGCTCAGATTTTTGGAGCACAATTAACTATTTCTTTGTATTCGAACTCGATACTTATTCCGCCCATCACCATTCGACTATATTATGAAAAGTGGAGTAAACAAAGCCAAGATGGACAGAAAGGAAAAGCGATTTGGTAAGCCTATTTCTTTTTGTAGTAGTAGTAGACCCTCTTTGTTTGTTTTTTCTTATAACGTAAGTCCATTTCTAAGGTTGAAGCACTTTTGTATATATAGTAATAAGTCGATCTCAAATAAAAAAAAATTAAAAAAGGGTAATACTACTAACACAAGAATGAAGACTTAAGTTAATTATAATTAAGTTTAAGTCACTTTTTAAGAGGAAGAATGTGAAACAAGTAGGTAGAGCCCAAGAAACGTAATTTTTGTTTTTCGCTCAATCTCAGTATCTGAGATCTGGCTATCATTATCGTCGACGATCGATTTAAATTTTAAGTAGTCTTAGTAGTTTTTTTTTTTTAATTCTTTAAAGAAATGGCCTAATTGGAACTTAAATTAGCTATGTTTGGCCAGGGCTGTCATTAAATGGTAAAAATGTTTTGCCATCAGTTTATTAATAAATATCACTCCCCATATGACATGAACCAATACATGCTCCTCCAAGGGGGATCTCTATCTTCACTTAATTAAATACTATACAACAGGGGTCTCAAACTCGCGGCCCATGAGACGATATTTTGTTGCTCGCTTCATGACAGCAAAGTTTAATGCCCACACGTTTCCCCCATTCTCATATTGAATTATGTAATGTGACCTTCCGCGACTGTTTCAGTCGAATCTCACCTACTAGTCTAATTCTGATTTTTATTATGTTTGTATAGATTTGGACGTTGATTATGATGGTAAAACCTTTTTAAAATCGGACTAAAGGGTTTTACTTTATAGCATTTTATGAGACAAACATGATCAAAGTGCGCTTTTGTAAAAAGTTTAAAAAGTCAGTTAGTGGGTAGACTACCTTTCCACTATTAACTTTAACAAGTCAAAGTTAAGGGCCAAACTTATTGATGAGCATCTTCAAGCTATACTAAAGGTCTCAGTTGCTTCGTCACTAGAGCCACATGTTGCTCAGCTGTGTAAGAAGCGCTGCCAGGTCTCGGGCAAAAAGGAGTAGGAAGATGAAAACTGCCTAGTTCTTGAGAACCCTTAATGTTTTTATTTGTTATTAATAAAGGTTGAGTGGATTGTAACAGTTGTACTTTATTGAATTTGTAATTGATTTTTTGTGGAATACTTGATGCAGCCCAATACAAGATGGCTTTGCTGTTTGCTTATCATTTCTTATACCATAACTGATTTGTTTTGTTGTGTTTCAGAAACTGAAGAACAGCAAAGGACACGCTTTCAAATAGAGCTTGAGTTTATACAGTGTTTAGCCAATCCTAATTATTTGAATTGTAAGTTTTTCAGTAACATGAGAGCATTTTTTTTAAAAATGCTATGCTATATTAAATTACACACTAAAGCATTTCCCTTGAACTTGAATTATATAATTAGTCAAAATATAACTATGTCATCCATTTTAAGAAAAGATGTTTTTGAAATATATTTTAGGAGAAATACGAATGAGAGGCTTTCACCTGCTAATGCTGGTTTGACAGGGAGATTTTTTTAATGGGGGAGCAATTTGTGTTATAAAATGGAAAGGAAAAGTTTGCAGAGACTGATTAGCAGTATTGCGATGAAACCATAAGTAATTTTTCAATACATGGGAATAGATATTCTATTCAAAGTTTGACAGTTCTGAAAAATATTCTGAAGGCTTCACTTTCTCATTTTGCAATACCAAGTAGAGTCCTTAATTATGTTCTATGTTAAAATATGTGTATTTTGATGCTAGATTCATTTACACATGATACTTTGCCCTTTTCCTATCTGGCATCAAAATTGCTCAGCCCAACAAATCATGCCTTTTAGTCTATGCTATTGTGTTGACAGAAGTATATTGGTCCAGGAATTACAACTATAATTAGACATTCTTGTGCCAAATTATATTTACAGACTCAAGGTTTCCACTTAGGTAATTTTTTTTTAAACAGATTTTTAATTTCTGTTTAACTTCTTTTATTTCAGTTCTTGCACAACGAGGTATTTTTAAGGATCAAAACTTCATAAATTATCTTAAATACCTGCAGTACTGGAAAGAGCCTAAATATGCCAAATTTCTCAAGTAAGTTGCGTTTGGAAAATATTGTTACTGCTCTTTGCTGCAAGGAAAATTTAAGCCATGGTTACTTTTTGGACTAGCATTTCACAATTTAATTTCTTGTAAACAGATACCCACAGTGCCTTCACATGATAGAGTTACTTCAATATGAACATTTCCGTAAAGAACTAGTCAATGCCCAATGTGCCAAGTTTATTGATGACCAGCAGCTACTTCACTGGCAGCATTATCAAAGAAAGCGGAGCTCCATGATGCAGGTAGTCCCATAATCAAAGACTTTGTTGAAGCACACCAGTGCCAGGTGTAAAAAATACTTTGTCCCAGAAAGAATACATTCAATTAAACCCATATTTTTTTTTATTCCTCAAATTATATGCCCTCGGTTTACCGTTTTCATATTTAAAATCGATTCATGAAAACTTTATTACCACCAGGAACAAGCTGAGAGAACACAGGCAGCCAAAGAAACTACCAGAGATACAAAACAGATTACATCCCAGTCTGGAACATAGCAAATTATAGCCTTCTGTGATTGTAGAGTCATGGACGACAAGAAAATAATTGAATAAATTCAAATTTATATATGGATGCAGATAGTTTTTGTTGTGTACAGTACATGGTTGCATTTATTCACATCTGTTTCTTCTACTCTAGAAAAAAAATCCTCCAGATATTAAGCTACAAATACCTTGGATGATTTTAAACAAATCATTATGTCAAGAAAATTTAATTCATTAACAGTGTGATTCTGTTCCAAGCCCTTGCAAAGAATTAAAATATAAATAGTTGTCCACATAGAGATTTGTTGGTAGAAAAAATTCATTTACTTTATGAATTACCTTCACTGTCTATAAATGGCTGGACTATTTTCTTATAAGAATCCAGTGCCGGTACTACAATAATTTAAACAAGAATTTAAAAAATAAAAAATAAATAATAAATAAACAAAAACACCAAGCAAATTTAACAAACTTATTGTTATTGTAAAAAGACAAAACTTTAATACATTAATATCTGTACAGTAACAACTCCATAAGTATACACAAAAATATATAGGCATTTTTTTCATTTCCAAGCTTAAAATTCAATACAGTTTCCCAAGCACTAAGGCCTTACTGCAGATTTGTTGAAATGTGCACTCCACTGTTTGATAGAGTGTCTCATAGTCGCCACATGCAGATAATTTAGAAGGCTTGCCATTGGAGCTTTTGTTCTGGTTCTGGTCTCTCTGAGCGCCTGAAAAGATAGACAATTTATGAAGTATCCAATTCATATTTATAGACTATCTTTTTATGCAGAAATCAAACAAGCCAATCAAACTAGAATATTATGACTAATAAATAAACTAAATCCTTTTTTTTAAAATGTATATCAGCTAGTGTCATTCAAATTCATATAACTAAGCTGTTGTACTAACATGAATTTAAACTTAATAGACATAAATGGTCATTGAAATAATAATTATATCTGCATTCATGAGATCATTGGAGTTTGTAGAGTTGTAGTCTAGAGTTTAAATAAAATTGCTCTATTTATAGACATTTGTACAATTTAGCACCCCCGCCATTGTGCAGATTACCCATGTCTGTAGAGATGTATGATGAGTTAGAGTTTAACACAATAAAATGAACGAATTGTGCAAATATTAATTACTAATGAACTGTCCAGACAGACACCGTTTTGGTTTTAATTCCGAACATATTTATATTAAAACTGTAACTGTAACAGCTTACACAATCTAGAGGTGTTTCCTGAAACTGTCATCTGTGAATAGCAAACTCTGCCAAGTTGAGTCAATAACGCTGTGACATCATCGCACAAGGGAGGGAAAGCTTCACAAATAGGGAGCAAACTGGGGACTGTTTGTTGAAAAAATGCAACCCACTCATTTTTCTCTAAAACTGAAATTTAAGAAATGAAAAAAATAGTTTTAAAAAATATGTTTCTTTTGGATTATCGGTGAGTGACAACAGTAAATTAAAAGTAATTCAATTTATCTCCAGCCTTTAAAACCATCCTTTGAAAAAATATCATTTTTTTTTTTAAAGAAAAATGTTTAATTTAAATGATCATGCAAAGACTTACCAGAAAGCAGTGTAAACATAACATCTATGCCTAATTTGGCAATATTCATTGACTTTGGTAAATGGTACTGTGTACAAAGATGAGCAAGAAGTTGGATACCAAATATCTGAAAATATTGTAATTATTTTCTGAGCGGGAAAGACATTGGGAAAGGGTAACTTTACAAAAACATCACTTACTGACTTTGAGAATGCAGCAAATTTATCAAAATTAATGGATTTATAACTAATATTCTCAATCTGGACAGGCTTTTAATAAAAATTAAACAAGATTATGTTAATATTTTTTTTTTCACTGACTGTTATTTTATGAGAAATATTAGCCATTTTTTCAGCTTTAAAAACAATCTAAAGTGCATGAGTTTTAAGCTTTAGCACGAGGAGAATTTTATAAATCCCTATTTAAGGTCCATAAAAGTCATAGGGTCACATTATGAATGAACATTTGGGAGGGGGTGGGGGAGTGTAATTAAAAACATTAATTTTTGCTTCTGTGAATTTAAAAAACACAGTCCAGGCACTTTATTTCTTTAATTACATCTACTGAAACAATTACAAGAAAGCCAGAGAGTTGGATATTTCCCAATGCACAGATCTGACTTGATAAGTCACTAATACCAGTGTAACGATAAAAATAAATGTCACACATTTATTTTAATCACATATATTTCCCACATCAAGCAGCCAATACTTTTATTATTATTTTTAAGCCATCTATGATACTACAAGAAAAAAGATGTGTCTCTTGCCACGATGTAAATGCAGCTTCACATAATCTGATGTGGTTAATGGTTAACTAAAACTTAATGAAAATTTCTACTGACCTGTTTGCTCCTTTGAGGCTGTCCTAACAATTCTGGAATGAAATCAAGACAAATGTGCATGGATGGAACACCTTTTACAACCAAGGGTATCAACTCACTGGGATAACCCTGAAAAAGTAAAATGTTCATTATCTTCTATGACCATGTTTATGAAAAAGTTTGGTCAAAAAAAAAAATAATAATAATTTTTGGTATAAGAAACTGCAGTAGGCAAAAACTGATAAGTTATAAATAAGCAGAGGATCAACAAAATTCTATTCTTAACAATATGCTGAGCATTAATTTTTTTTAAAGTACTATTCTTTAAAATAAATGAACATTTCCGTTGATAGAATTTACAAATTAAATATTGGTGGACTGCGACTTATGAGACGATCATGTTGTCCAATCTATGTGGCAAATTGCTACATTAATCCATATTGATCCCACAGAAACTGAATGTCCTGAAAAATGTGTCAGCCAATGACAATTAACTGCCTTTTATCCTTCTTGGCATAAAATTTTTTCAGATGTGTTGAACAAGGAGAATGAGTCAACCTTTTGTTATGTGAAGTATTAAATCTTATTAAATTGAGCTAATCTGGATGCAGTATCTTGCCCCCATCTTAACAATTTGGACCACTGGTGTTGTGTCTTGTTTGAAAACTACTAAGAGTCCTATTCCAATTATGGCTGAGTGGTTGAGGTTTATTTTAAAATAAATAATTTTATATAGATATACCGTATTCATTTTACTTTATTTACCAACCTGAAAATGAACAAGTTTGGCCAAGTTGGGGTCTGCTATAAATACTTGGTGGATGTAAGAAAATAACAGACATCGAATCTCTCTTAGGCTGCATAATTCACCATGAGCCTTGGTCTGAAAGTAATATATTTCTTTGACCCCTAACCAGAAGACATAATGCAATAAAAAGGTGATGTGCCTTGTCTTATAAAGTATAAACAGATGGAATCTTATACACTTTCACATTCCAGTACATATAATTACTCTGGTGACCTGACAATGCCGTACCTTCTCATTCTCTAAAGGTAAACAGACTTCCAATAAGATCTGCACTATAGCACTTTCTTGTGCAGCCAGCAGAGCAACCTTAAGTTCAAGGCGATCTTTCTCCTTATCTGTGGCCGCAACATCTACAACATGGGAGTTTAGGAAAACACGACACGCCTGCGTGTAGGCAGACAGAATGCGAAGTAGGATTTCTAATATTGGTGCACACCTGCAATCATTTCAGATAATTTTCAATGATTTTAGAATAAGCTGAATAAAAATAGATATGCTATGCCAACTCCTGGCATTAAAAAATATAAAAGTGAAATTAAAAAATGTATATATTTTAAAAAAATGCCATTTTCATCCCTAATGTTATCATTTAATCATTTAAAGTTAACTTATTTGATGTTTATTGATTTGTCATGAGATATGTCTAAGTTCTAGCAAGAAAAGATTTTACAAGTTACCTAAATACCCTATCATCACATCGCAAGACAACCAGCGGATCAATGACTAGATCCTGTTCAGTGAATTGTGAAGAGCTCTGAAATGCTGACTTCCTTGTAGGTTGGAGGGCATTAACCGTATCAAGACGTAGCCTTATTTTAAACAGAGAGGAAAAGATCTAAAACAAAATTTCTTACTTGCTAAATTTAATAATTAAATGTTCTAGTCAGGTAGTGGGATAGATGGAGTATTAGGGTGACAATAATGTGGCTAATTTCAAAATATCTAGAATATTGTTCAATGAGATGGTTGACTTTGAACAATAAAAGGTGTATTAATTGCTGACAATTTTACAATAACAAAGGTCTATCAACCAAGTCCAATACTACAAGTCATTTTGTATTACCAAAGTCAGTAGAGCACTAGATGTTTTATCAACTGTTATCTTCACTCAAGAGCATAGCAATTTTAAAATATTTTATGCTCTTCCTAGCAAATAAACAGTGGGGACAATTTTTTTATTAATTAAATAATATGGTTAGGACTGTGTTCCAGCTGTGTCAAGGAAAATAGTAAGAAAGAACAGGATAGATGAAGGCTTAAATGAACATTCAGGACAGCCGAAAGAATTTTAAAAACATTGATCATCAGAAAAAACAACAAAAGAGAAGGAGAAAAATGTAACCTTGCATCCTAGTGGCTGGAATAATAAAAAGGTGATGGGTTTATGATTAACCCTTAAACTGCCGGCATAAAAGATAACCTAGCTAATCACTCACAATGGCTTGTGATAACCTGGTTAATAAAAACATCTAGGTTTTCCCAACATAAATCTGTGCAGTTGTGTTTAGTATGGGGAGTTAATTGTATAAATTCAACTCTTACTTTCTTGGTGTAAAGCCGTGGAGCTTAAACCAGACTTTTTTGGTCAGATCCAGCAATCTCCTTGGGGTGCCATCTTGAAGAAGGTTGGCAATGCCCCCAACAATGACATCTTGACACACTCTCAGTGTTGTGGTGTCCCCGTAGTGAAGTAATTCTTCTAACAGTTTGATAGCTTGGGATGGCTGACTCTGGGCATTGGACATGGCTAGCGAGATAAAAACATTTTTTTTTTTCATGACATAGTGAGAAATGAATGTTCAATATTTGGCCGCTTTTTATTTCAATGTTGAGCCTAAACAAAAATTGACTGGACTTTCGTGTCCATGTGCAGGGTGCATGGAGTTTTAAATGTTGCTGTGTTGATTGCAGTATAAATAAAATAAGCATGTGGAAAAAAATCGAAGGAAACCATGTTCAAGGGAATACATCAGCTACACAGTATCTTGAGAAATCCCATTACTATGTCAGGAATAACCCAAAAGAAAATTTAAAAGAATGAAAGCCTACCCTCCCTGATCATTTCTGGCTTAATGTTGACTGGGACTCGTCTCTTCTTGATCAGAGACTTGTCTCTGGACATCAGTCCCACATGGGCATCCAGCCAGTCTTCAACAAGGCACAAGTGTGGGAAGTGGGTATTCAGCAGCCTACAACAGATCATTACATTAACTAAAACCTAACATGTATGTATTGATTAAATAATCACCACCTGCTGTATAATATCAATCATTTATTAATCACATATCACATTCAAATAATCACCACCTACCATAAAATATCATAGATTCTAAACTGATCAAACAATTACCACCGACCTTCATTTATTGATCAAATAATTAGCAACTGCAATATATTTATTGATTATAGTTTCACATAATGTTTTTTTAAATTTTCCACTAAAAGTGAGTTTACCTGATCATAGGTGGGAAAACATTTTGACAGTTATTGTGGTGCTTGAGAGCCTCCTGGACCAGGTAACTGATGGGAATCTGTGACATCACTGTGTCACTGTACAGGGAAAGTTTAGTCACGTCTGAAATGCAAGTGTAGATGTAAGGGAAAGTTTGGTCACGTCTGAAATGCAAGTGTAGATGTAAGTGCAAATAATGGGTTCACTGACTTTGTCAAATCTTTTATGCAAAATTTTATTACACAACTACTTTAATTTTGGGGAACATAATATTTGGGGGTCATTTTCGAATGATAAAAAATCCCACTATCCTTAATTAGCAAGTGTCTAATTTTAGCTGCAATACAAAGTATCAATATTTAATGTGGACAAAATTTTAAAATATTATTCATAATACATTACAGCGCTGCACCTCATAATTACTTTCCTTGGCTATAGCACAATAAAAGAAAATGTAATAAATTATTATTTAATTTTTTAGTTACAACCCAGAAGTTGAAAATTATTAATTTTATTATTTCTGGGTTTTCCTCTCCGGAACCAAAATTCATCAACGTGTAGGCTTGGCACGAGCGTGTAGGCTTGGCATGAGGGCGTAGGCTTGGCATGAGCGTGTAGGCTTGGCATGAGTGTGTAGGCTTGACATGAGCTTGTAGGCTTGGCATGAGTGTGTAGGCTTGGCATGAGTATGTAGGCTTGGCATGAGTGTGTAGGCTTGGCATGAGTGTGTAGGCTTAGCATGAGTGTGTAGGCTTGCCAAGTGTAGGCTTGGCATGAGGCGTGTAGGCTTGGCATGAGTGTGTAGGCTTGGCATGAGTGTGTAGGCTTGATGAGTGTGTTGGCTTGGCATGAGTGTGTAGGCTTGGCATGAGTGTGTAGGCTTGGCATGAGTGTGTAGGCTTGGCATGATCGTGTAGGCTTGGCATGAGCGTGTAGGCTTGGCATGAGCGTGTAGGCTTGGCATGAGTGTGTAGGCTTGACATGAGTGTGTAGGCTTGGAATGAGTGTGTAGGCTTGGCATGAGTGTGTAGGCTTGGGATGAGCGTGTAGGCTTGGCATGAGTGTAAGGGGTTTTCCCACCAGAGTCCAAGTAATACAAATGAGAGACTCTATGTTTACAATTCTGTGCAGCATGTAACTGACACACTGGTGCCAGCATGTGGTAAAGGATGTATCATATTGAACAGCTGTGTGGATTATTTAAGCATTTTAATAGTGCCAAGTGGTTTGCATTCTAACTCTTACTGACGTTGTAGACTACTACATGTACTTTAAGAAAATTAAATAATTTAGATAATTATCTCCCAAAATATTACCTGCATCAAATAAATACCAATAGCACTGGTTATTTTTAAACTGTTTTAGCAAAATACAATATTGTTTTACCAAATAGCAATTGGACTAATTATATTTCAATAAGTGTTTAAGCAAATACTTAAGCTGCTTATAAAAAATAGAACTGGTTATTTAAATACCTATGAGTTTCTTGTGAGTATGATACAAATCCTCATATAAAAGTAGGTAGTACAGGATCAGCAATTGTGGACAGAGAAGGCTCTCTTGAATTTCAGGGTTGCCAGGTTTAGTAACTGGGAGCTTATCTTTTGTCCCAGCAACATTTTTTTTCTTAATGTCAAAGAGGGCCAGTATCTCAGCCTCTGACAGGGGTTCATTTGTGTGTTCGGGCTTGGGTGTCTTGGGGATGACAGAATTCACATAGGACTCTATCAGCTGGGGCAGCAGTGGATGTAAGGGAAAACAGCTGCTGCAAATCTGGCGATACACCCATTTCTGAAATGTCCAAAGAAAAATGCAAGATTTAGCCAGGTACAGAGCCTATTTAGATCTTTGAGAACCCGATACTAAGTGGGCATACACAAGGTTGTAAAGGTTATTCTATGGGACACATGAGATGATTCTAACCAAAATAAATAATTACGCCTGAATAAATATTATTTTACAATCCTTCAAAATCTACTGCATTGTGAAAATTGCTCAATTTGTTTTAGGTTAATCCACAATATAATGACCATATGATACTTGAGTGAAGAAACATTTCCAAATACATTGATTAAATCAGCCCTTTAAAATGGATGGTTTTTTTCTTACTCTGATAGACACGTTATGCTTGGAGAAAACTCTGCTCTTCAGGAGTTGTAAGATACTGTGAACAGGGAGATAGCCTGTAGACTTGGCATCTAGGTTGGGAGTTACTGGAATTTTGATAGCATGAGCTGCTACAACCTTTAAATTAGAAACAAAAATAAATAAATGATACACAGAAGATAATGTGCAATATTTTTTAAAAATATCCCCTGTCCTAAATTCCACTAATGTACCTGTAATGTGAATTTCCCTATCTTTAGACACAAATTTATTTTTTATAACAGTTATTTATTTATTTTGGATGTGAAGACCAAATACACTAATTTAAAAATCAAATAATGGACCAAGATAAGTCTGGTAGGAAAAAAGATAGAGAAAAAAACAAGGTAAAGAACAAGAACATACAATTGGTACCTGTCTAGTGCCAAGAATAAAGAATAATGGGACTGCGTTCAAGCAGTGTTAAGTAAATATAGTGGAATGAAATAGTGTAACAAAATAGAGGTAAAAGAATTCAAGCCATTTTTGGAATGAATGAGCACAATGCAATAAAATTATATAACAGATTTACTTTGTAGAATTAAATTAATTGTAGAAAGTTAATAGGGAATTACATACAAATATTCATAGGCTAAATGCAATAAGAGCTTTGAATATGCTATGGATAAATCTTCTATTAATAGTTTAATAATAGTTTATTTCAACAAACAAAAAGCATTTAAAAAGTCTGCACCTTTTCTGTGAATAGTTCCATGGTAAAAATCTGTCTTATTTTTACAAGTGCACTTGTTTTCACTGTGATCTGTTAGAAGCAATCAATATTTTTAAATTATTTAAAGCAAAAATTTCTCAATAAAACATGTACTTTAAGATATAAAATAATTATATATAAATTTAAGAATAAAGCAAACTCAATAAAGCACTTTAAGAAAAAAAACTTGGAAATTAGGATGCAATAAATAACTTTCATTAGCAGCACTCGAGATTGAGAAATCAATGTTTTCTTTTTAAATTTTGTGTATATAAATTTAAACATGGAAAATATTATTATTCTCAAAGTAAAATATCATTTTTTTCACAAGGCAATACCCTCATGTAAAACACCCTGTAATGTGAGGTATAATATGGGACCAAACTCTGGTTCCAAAACACGATGGTCACATATTTATTTACAAAAATTTCTCCAAAAACGTCTAAATGTTGAAAAGAAATAAACTAGTTAACATGAGTTGATAAAAGCACTTTGAATCACTACCCCAGACTGACTGACTCACATGGCAGGTGGGACACATATCGACATTTGTGGCAAAAATAAAAATAAGTGTGACTAAAAAAAGGATGAATATAAAGAAAAGATAAATATCAAGATGGACGAATATTGAGGGTCCACTATAGTTTAAATTAAATAACTGATGACAAAAGTGACATCTTACTTTCATGCCTAATGTATTACACACAAGATCAGTTATAGCTTGCATCTGGTTGTTGTGGAAATTCAAGGCAAGTAGAAACAACATTTCACCTGGGCTGTCTGTTTTTGATGAATACCTGAAGACAAATTGATTGATATCATTAAAAAATTCCCTACCGTGCCTGACTGATAAATTTGAAGGTCTTTAAGCTGTTTAAGATAACATTTTTTTTTTTTTTAAATTTCAAACAATTTTTTTTGCAAGCTGGCTCCAAAAAATTATAGAAAAATTAAATTTCATAGAATAGCAGCATTTTTATTCATTAAGGCCAGAAATCAGTAGATAGCTTCTCCTTGTAAAGTCATTCACTGTAAATGCTTCACAATGAATTAAATATTAACTTTGATTACTTATCAAACTGTGACTCTGAATGCATCAGCCATCGTAGCCAATTGACAGTTTGCTGCTCATCATCAACAGATCTGCAGAGAAAAAAACATTTGAAGTATTAAAATTCTTATTTAAAAAATAAAAATGCTTTACATCTTAAAAAACCTATGAACATGAATAAGCTTTTGGATGAATTGTTTGCTTTCAGGGGTCCACAAGGTTGACAATCACCGTTCAATAGTTCTGTAAGAAAAAATGTTTAGTTTACTAAGTTTTCTTGATTTATTTTAGTATTTTTACCTGAGCAGGCTGGGACTAGCTATAAGGGTACAAATTCCTAGTGATATGAAATGGGCACCAGCTCTGGAAAGTTCAGGGTGAGAAATAACCAGCCTAAGCAAACAGCCAGTTTCTTCATCACTGTATCTAAAATGAGAGATTGCAAGAGAATTATGTTGGCATCTGTAATAAGTATACGCCTTTTTTAAATGATAACCAGAAGTGAAAACAGCATTCTATAAATAAGTGCTGATTGTTTTTGTCACAAGTCTGACACTTTGGGGTGGTTTTTGCCTTAAGGTTATTGAGTCTTTATTTGAAAATTTGACTTCTGAAGCAAATCAGAACTGTGGTTAAATTACTTTTTTTAATCATATACTATTTTTAAAAAAGCAAGTTGCTAAGTGATAAGTTGTTTGAATGCAACTGGCTCACTTCATTCACAATATAATGCAATTGACTCACTTTATTCACAATATAATGCAACTGACTCACTCCATTCACAATATAATGCAATTGACTCACTTCATTGTTGCTATCCCCTTTAAAGCATTGTAAAGTCTTATCAAAGAACTTGCTTCCACCGTCTTGGAATCTTCCATAGTCTGTCCTCTAACAGGGGTAAGGCTGATTAGCTGCTGTAACAAGAAGCCTCGCAAGAGATCCAGCATCGAGGGGCCAACATCAGGTCTTCTCTAATAAAATTAACGGAGGTTTGAATGCATAAAATGAAGGACTGCGTTCATGCTGTGTTAATGAAATAGTGGAACAAGGTATGTGGGAGCTTGAAGTATAAAGATGGGACAATATATTTGTAACAATAATATTGTACTGTCTTATATTTCAAGCTACCACATACCCTGTTCCACTATTTGAATATATAGTGAGTACAATCTCAATCATCTTGTTCCCAGACAAGCCTGGTGTACACCCATATTTATTTCTAAATGTGTTAGCTTTATATGTTAAAAATATGAACCCTACCCTGAATAAACTGTTTACGGCAGCATAAATTAGCTACTTGAAAACATAAAATTAGACTTACTTCTAAATGTTGGTAACCTTTAATGCATTTTCCAGTTGGTTTTCCAAGGGCTTATTTCATTTTAGCAGCTACCATTGATATCTTATTATTTCACTTTAACATATTATTATTATTTTTTTTTTGTGTGTGTTCCTTTTCATCTTGTCTCTTACAGGAAGTATAAATCAAAGTTTAACTGCTAATTTTGGATCACCTTTTTGTGTGAATATAAACCTAATTACCTTTTGTCCTGCTTTCACAAAACTTGAGATCCAGTTTCGGATTCCAACATCACTGCCGAGTAATAAACTGGTGAAGTAAGGAACTATGTCACTGCAGCTCTCTCCATCGTCCCCAGCAGCCTCTGACTGCTGTATGGACACTGCTACGGCAAAGCCAGGCATGTTGCAGTATTCAGCCTGGTTCATATAAGTAATTTCACGTCAATACTGAAATATTCTTGTTGAATTTTAATGTCATGATGAATGCTGTGAAACAGTGCTTTCCAAATTCAAAGTTATTGAAGCCCATATTTAATCAAATAATTTTAGCACCACCATCATTTCATATATTACAGAATTATATAATGACTACACCTCTGACACAACCCTTTGAGCTATTAAGTCAGGAGATGAGGACCCAAGTTGTTACCACTGAACTTACCTGCTGATATAAAAATTCAAAATCTAAACTGCCTAAATAATTATTGTCTGACAGATAGCATTCAGTGTTTTAAGAGGTACAAAGATAACATTTAGTATCTCTTACACAATAATTTCTGACAGTTAGAGCTGCATTGGGGTTGACCAAACACAACATTCGAAGCAGTTCAAGTCTTCGCATTCCACCAGGTGAATCCTCTTCCTGTTTTTCTCCCCTTGCTATCAGGCTGTTGCAAACTGGGAATAGAAAGCAATCCAATTTTTTAAAATAATTTTTTAAAAATCAATCAACGAAATTTAGAGTAATCATTTTTTAATAGCTTTATTCAGCCTCTTTTAAAAATTTTTATTACTAATATCAACAGAAATATTTTTATTAATAATATTAACAATTTGATGTCTAACAAAAAATTTTAAACACACAAATTAGTTTTAAAAAACCTGTGTTTTCAAATAGTTAGATATGTAGTTTAAAAATAAATAGAAAAGGTATCTTTGTTTAAATTTATTTTGCTTTGAATTTTTATTTAAAAACTGCAACTAAATTAAGACAACCTTCAAGAAATGTTTCTGGATTGTTAGCAACCAGTTGACAAACCAGTGTTGGTCCATTGCTTACACATAACAGTGCTTCTGCCATATCAAGGATGTTTAAAAGATTTGGCAGCTCTGCAGAGAGAAAAGAAAAAATGTACAGTTCTGTTTCTCCAACTAATACCCATAAAATCATGGATAAATAAGATAAGCAGGAAAAATTCATTTATAACATAACTATTATAAGACATTCAAGATTTACAATGTGATAATCTTTTATAATAGAGGAATGATTATCTGGTAGATTTTTAAAAAAAAATATATATCCACATTAACCTTAATTACTTTAGTAAATAAAATTATATAATAAGCAATATAAGAGCTCACCTGCCATAGCAATACATAGGGCATCCAAGATTTCCTCTGTATAAACTGGACATTCAAACAAATCGGACTGTTTAGTATAGTTCCCTGCCTTCTGGTCCTTCAACTAAATGAATTAAAACAAGAAATATTTTTAATTTATCTTTTAAGGGCTCATATTTTTATCTGCCATTTGTAGCATTACTTATTAGTACTGCAATACAACTCCATAGATGTGCACTGCTCTTAGATTCTCTGGCATATATTTTGAAAGTCAAACTAAGGAGAGTAAAGAAAATGTGAAACATTACTGATTTAGTCAATAAATACAGAATCTTATTTATAATACTTCTTTGATACTTCATTATTATTTATCATTGATCATTTAACTGTATATCATCATTTAATGAGAATAAAATTAAAGCTTGTAAGGATATTGATGCTGAAAATTTTTTGTAAGAAATTGTTTCACCAAATAATTTTATAAATAAAATACTATGTTTATTTATTTAATGCTAATATTATATGTTGCCTATAAGAATGGGCAGAATTTCCTATATGATTAATTGAGAACAAACATTGGAAAAAATTAATATTTCTCAGTAACTTTTAGTTATATCAGGAAAAAGTTTAAAACAACACTGTACCTCTGAAGATATAAATAACAACTGGCTGAGAAGAAGTCTAATTCTTTGAGCTGGGTCACTCTCACTTCTTTCAAACTCCAAGGCAATACCATGAGTTAGTTGAGAAACAAGTACACTTTCTGTCATATTTCCACCAAGCTTAGCTCTAGAAATCAAAATCACAAAAATGCATTAAGAATTTTGTAATGTAGACTGCATTGTAGTATAAGTTAAATATGGGATGCAAATAAAAATCATCTGTCTATACATAATTACAAGTTAAAATACAGACATACAACTGGCAGAATAAATTTATGACGTAAAGGGGAAAAAATGGATACCACTGGCACAGATATACAATGGTGTGAATGTGACTGGCCAGTATGGCTGACATTCTGAATTTTAACTTTTTGACAATACATTAATGTGAATCATGATACAGTAGGACTGAGAAATTTTTTAGCAAAACAGTAAAAGTAAAACTACATATGGGATAAAAGTTAGGCTATACATTTTATAACAATAAAAGTTGGGGCAAGTTGATTGCCTAGGAATACTTGGAGATTCATAGGGCTCAATTTTGTATTGTGTTAATGGGCAGGCACAATATAATAGACACTTCCTGCTTCTGCCCTTATGCAACAACACACCAAATGTCACCAGATTACAACTTAATTTACTTAATCTATTAAAATATCTCATAAATGTCTGTATTTGCATTGCGTTGTATTAAAAAATCACAACTCAGGCTGCACAATGAAGGGGATCTTTGCAGATCTTCCCGCATACCTAAGAGACACAATAAAAGTTGCAGTCAATTTTAAACTTGTCCCTAAAAGTTTTGTATAATAATATTGGCAGTAAATAATACCTTATTTGTGTGTAATGTTTAAAACAACAAAGTAGATATACTGATCCGGGTCCTTTTATATAAAATGGCTATTTGGACTCGATAGTCTTAACAATTTTTAAAAAACTGATCCAAACTTGAGTTGATAGGCTTCATAATTGATAAGGTCTCACTTTCTTTTTGAAAATGGAGGTTGGTAGCATTTTTGATAGCTATGCATCTTTTGAAGAAAAATTCAAAATATTTTTGAAAGAATACAGTGTGTGTTACGCTAAAAGATCGTCAGAGAGAATCAAAGATCCCAAGCTGGAACACCTTTATGAGTACTTTGTGCTCTGCTGCTAACAAGGTGTTAACAGCCATTCGACGTCTTTAACAGGACAAAGATATTTAAATTTAGTCTAGTTATAAGTATTTAAGAAAGAGATAAATTTGAGATATATAAGCCTTATGGTAATATAGATCTACTCTTCTTAAAAAACATTTGATTTTACTTGACTGATAAAGTTAATTTTGCTTTCTCAAACTTTCTGATTCATATTGGTTTTTTACCAGTTGGTCTTGTCTTGTAATATAGTATCATTCTTTATCCAATAGTACCATTCTTTATCCAATAGTATCATTCTTTATCCAATAGTATCATTCTTTATCCAATAGTATCATTCTTTATCCAATAGTATCATTCTTTATCCAATAGTATCATTCTTTATCCAATAGTATCATTCTTTATCCAATAGTTTCAATCTTATCGCTTTTGGCATTTAGTTGAGAAATTTTCTTTCTTTTCTCTCTCAGTTCAACAAAGGGGGATGCTAGGCAAAGATAAAGCTTGTTGCCAAGAGAAATCCACCTCGACTAGAAATTACCATTGCATGAACATACTGGCCATGAAGTATCAAAAGAAGTGAGTACATGTGCTGCAACACATATTTACATAGTATATTCTTGTGGCGGGTTCTTGTCACCTACCTGTACTCACTATAGAGATGAATGCATTTTAAGGGAATGTTTTGTACCATTTATTAATCACCTATTAGTATTTCTGACTAGAAGTTTTATATCTTGATTGTGAAAAATAATAAAACTAAACATTTATCAACAGGGTGAAGGTTAATTATGTTTGCAGGGCATATTTTTTACGTCATTAATTCTGTATAAAGTTATCATTAAAACAAGAGTTATTGCACACTACAGGATCAACGGAATGGGGTTACAAAATGTGGAGGTGTAGTTCATAGCCGTCATAGTCATGGCCATAAATATATAATACGAAGTGTCTACAGGTCCTGCGCGCCGGACAAATAGTGCGCGAGATATACGTCCGGCGGCATGTCACGTGACCGCCGGACGGCTAGTAGTTGTTATTATTCTGAACGAAGCGCAATTAGGCAGATATTGTGTGGTCTTGTGGTCGCTTGACGTTATTAAGATTTGAGGATCAATACCTGGTATAGGATCTTTTTTTTTCCCATTTTAATTAAAAATATTTTATACTATATTTATATTATCATGTTCATCGGCAATAGTAGTTTCATGAGAAGTTTTTAAATAGCTTGTAGCAATTGAAACAATATAAAATGAACTCTTTTACTTTTATTGGTTGCCTACTCCATACTGGCCCCTGCCCTAATTTATTTTATAGATTACTGGGACACAAACTCAAATAACAAACTAAACAAAAATGTTTACAAGCCACTTTCACTTAAGTTTTTTCTATTATTGGCATTCAAGATACTCAGTACATTACTTGGTAGAGAAATAGATTTTAAAATTAACAATAGTTTTGAATCATTCGCAGTCACGTGACAAGGCTGGCCGACAAGATATCTCACGCCACTTTGTTACGGGGGTCATGTGACTTGGTCGCCGAACTAATAGTGCGGGAGATATACGTCCGGCGGGCCGGACGTGTAGACACGGCCTATATAATATTATATCATTAAAAAAAAAATACCAGACACCCACTCCCAGTTTAACCTTAAAAATTCATAGCTCAAAAATTACTAAACTAAAGCTAGAAATTTGATTCTGGTTTCATTTTTTAATTTGAAATTTGCTCCTGTAAAACTGTAACGTTTGTATAATTTTTTTACCGAAGTACCTACATCTACGGGACTATACTATTACACAGTATTAGTATTAGTATTTTTAATTTTGATTCTGCTTAACATTAAATTAAATTAACAGTATAATCACCTTAATTGTTGTTCCTTTTTAACATCTTGCTCCAGGGCATGAAAATCAATAGATAACATGTCAACTATACTATTGACTACCTGGAGTCTTGAAAGAATGGCTAAAACTTTCTTTCTTATAAATTTTCCATTCTCACTTGCATCCAATGGAGCACACAGAGCCATCCTGACTAGCCCTGGTAAAACAGGTCGCAGATCTACATCTTCAGATGCAATCAGTGCATCAGTGTCCATAGTCTGCATTGCTTTAAAAATGTGAGGTTTCACTGGCAATGAAATCCTCGACATTTTTAATTTAAATACTTTTAACTAACAAGCTGAATTAGGCTTTGCCTATTTTCTTCCCCATGAAACTACCAATTTAAGGTTTGGCTATTTACCGCAATACCCAGTAGACTAAAGCAAAACCGAGAAGACAAGTTGATTATAAAAAAAAAAAAAAAAAATTCATGACCGAATAACCCCACAACAAAGTCTTAAAAATATAGTAAATATGTGATGAAAGCATATATATTTTAAACTTTAAATATACATCTTTCCAGCCAACATTTTTTAAAGAAATAGGCTTACTATATCTGTGGGTATCTACTTTAGAACAAACTGAAATTTACCCCAAAAAATGTTTCAAGTAGTAAGTAGTTTCCATGAAAAAAAAGAAAATATCACAATCACACCAATTAAATATAGTTTTTTCATTTACATTTTATTTATTAATTTAAATATTATAATTATTATAGGTAGAAATCGATATAATAAAATATTGTCTTTGTTATGATAAAAAATTCTTAACATTACAATATTTTAAAGGGTGAAGAAAACGTAGGTAATGCATCTTAATTTTACAGCCGTGGAAATTGTATCAATAGACTGTTTTTCTCTCTCGAAATAAAGAGCTACATTATTAAAACCTGGAGGATTGACGGCTAAAATTGAAAGTTGAGTAAAATTTGTTCTTTAAAAATGTCAAAAGAGGATGCAGCTGATGGGAAAAAGAAGCGACTTCTTAAAGCAGAGGTAGTATCAAACGTTTTGGGGATAAGTGAACCCAAGAAACATAAGCCCGATGCTTCGTTAGTAAAGGTAAGCTTGCCTCATTTATCTCTATTGCCATTATCACCAGCTTTTAAACTTAAACTCCGCAAGAAGAAATAGAAAACAATAAATAAATAAATAAGTTTTGCATAATTAAAACAAAGTGTCTACATGTCTGGCGACCGGATGAATAATTCTCGAGATATTCGTCCGGCAACCAGGTCACATGACTGCCATTACAAAGTTGGGCGAGATATCTGTCCGCCAGCCTTGTCACAGGACCGTTAATAGTCGATCATAAAATTGGTGCCGGGGATGCATGGGGGGGCGAAGATGCGTGGGGGGAGGGAAGCAATGCATCCTAGAAGGAAAAAATACTGAGAGCGAGAGAGAAAGGATAAATATGATAGTGGAGTTGATAAATAATTCAGGCGGGGAGGTCGAAAGTTCACAAAGAAATGGACCCTACATCTTAATATAGGGCCAATATAGTTCGCTGTTGGGATAGCCTACTTCTCACGCAATATTAATAGCCTAAAATAAAACTATTTTGACAGTAGATCTATTGAGTATTGGCAGTCAACTGGCAAGTATTGGTCTTATTTTCTTTGATTCATATTTTAAATTTAGACTACTAGGTAGAGCTTTATAAGATATTTAAACCAAGATAATGGACTTTTTATTTTGCCAGCGACTTCTTGTCACATTATTTCTGCTGGAATAATAACACATACTTGTCGTCCGGTGGTCACGTGACATGCCTGCCGGAAGAATATCTCGCACACTATTTGTCTGGTCCGTAGACACTGCCTTATTAAAAATAATTATTTATTTCTCAAAATCCAGGATTTGTGTTTTAGAATGAACCTAGAAGTAATTTAAATAAATGTGTTTTAATTTGAGGTTCAAAAACCCGGTAGAGTCCATATTATAAATGATCATTTGCTGAGTGCAAAGTGTTGTCATGGGCAACCATTCACGGTCACTTGCATAATGGCTATGCTATGGTACTACTACAGAGTTTCATTCATAAGAGTTTGCTGTGTGCAAAAACTGTTAAACTATTGGTTAAGGAAAGCTTTAATTAAATAGTCATGTGCCAAAGTTGAAAGTTCAAAATAAGTAGTCCCTAAATGGTATTTTAGTAATGATGGGATGTGTTGCCTTATACTATATAGTCATTGCTCATGATGCCATCAGCGGAATGAGGTCACAAAATGTAGAGGCTTCGTCCATAGTAGAAAATACCCAATGAACTCGCATGTTAAAAAATTTGTAGCTCAAAAAGTTCCTGAAGCTAAAATGTTGATTCTAGTTTCATTATTTTACTTGAAATTGGCTCTAAATAACTGTAATTTATTTTAATAATTTTTTTTTTTCTGAAGTAACTACATTTATTAATGCACATCATGTACATAATTCTACAACAGACTGCGAACCCTGGTCCAAAGGTGTCCTAAGAGCAATATGGTTATACTCATGGGCGACCTAAATGCGAAAATAGGCAGCAACAATAAAGGCTATGAAGAATGCATGGGAACACATGGTATGGGAGAGATGAATGAAAATGGTGAAAGACTAGCAGATCTATGTGCTACAATTGGACTAGTCATCGGAGGAAGCCTCTTCATGCATAGAAATATCCACAAGGCCACATGGATTTCACCAGATATGTCAACGGCTAACCAAATTGACCATTTCTGTATTTGCAATAAGTTTAGACGGTCGCTCCAAGATGTTAGGGTAAAAAGAGGGGCAGATGTAGCCTCAGACCATCATCTAATTATTGCCAAATTAAGGCTGAAACTGAAAAAGAACTGGACAAGCGAGGGAAGCAAGCGCCAACATTTTAACATCAACCTCTTGAAAGATGAGTCCAAGCTAAAGGAGTTTAAACTTACCATCTCCAATAAGTTCCAGATCTTACAGGAACTAGGCAATGAAGAAACAATTGACAAAAACTGGAAAGAAATCAAAGAGATATTCACGACTACCTGTGAAGAAGTGTTGGGCCCTAGGCAACAAACGCATAAAGAATGGATTTCGGCTGAAACCATGGAAAAAATCCAATATAGGAGAAAGAAGAAGGCAAATCTAAACAATAGCCGCACCAGAACCGAAAAGGCCAGAGCATCAACAGAATACTCAGAAGCAAATAAAGAAGTTAAACGTAGTATAAGGACAGATAAAAAGAACTACATAGAAGGATTAGCAAGTGAAGCAGAGGAGGCTGCGTACCATGGAAACACAAGAGAATTATTCAGTACAATCAAAAAGTTATCTGGAAAGTTCAACAATCCAGTGAGACCAGTTAAAACTAAAGATGGGAAATCAATACCTGATGAAGAGGGTCAGAAAAAAAGATGGATAGAACATTTTGAAGAACTCCTCAACCGGCCAGCACCACAACACACACTCAACATAGAGCCAGCGGAAAAAGATCTAGAAATAGAGTGCAGCACACCCACAAAGCAAGAAATATGCAGAGCAATTAAACAACTAAAGAAAGGCAAGGCGGCAGGTCCTGACAGAATACCGACAGAAGCCTTGACAGCAGATATTACGTCTAGCACTGAAATGCTACACACACTATTCAAGAAAATATGGGAGGAGGAACAGATACCGGCTGAATGGAAAGAAGGACACCTCGTTAAGCTCCCGAAGAAAGGAGACCTTAGTTCTTGTTCTAACTATAGGGGAATAACCCTGCTGTCGATCCCAAGCAAAGTATTCAACAGAATGCTGCTAAACAGAATGAGGGAGGCAATAGACATCAATCTTAGGGACCAACAAGCAGGGTTCAGAAAAGACAGATCCTGCACAGACCAGATTGCCACACTGAGAATTATTGTGGAACAATCTCTGGAGTGGAACTCGTCACTATACGTCAACTTCATTGACTATGAGAAGGCTTTTGACAGTGTCGACAGACAGACTCTGTGGAAGCTGCTTAGACACTACGGGGTACCACAAAAATTGACAGACATAATTAAGGCTTCTTACGAAGGACTATCGTGCAGAATTGTCCACGGCCAGCAAACAACGGCGGCTTTTGAGGTACAGACCGGTGTCAGACAGGGGTGTCTGCTCTCGCCTTTCCTATTCCTGCTGACCATTGATTGGATAATGAAAATGTCTACAGAGCAGAAGAGAAATGGTATTCAGTGGACACTATGGAAACAACTTGATGACCTGGATTTTGCGGATGATCTGGCCCTAGTATCACACACACAGCAACAGATGCAAGAGAAAACCAATTATGTAGCACAGTACTCTGCTTGCATCGGCCTGAACATCCACAGAGGAAAAAGCAAAGTCCTTAAAATAAATACATCAAGCAACACACCTATAGCACTGGAAGGAACAAACCTTGAGGAGGTGGATAGCTTTACATACCTCGGCAGCATCATTGACATACAAGGAGGGACAGACGCCGACATAAGAGTGAGAGTTGGTAAGGCAAGAGCGGCATTTAACCAGCTAAAAAAGGTCTGGAGCTGCAGCAATTTGACCCTCCAGACCAAGGTCAAGGTATTCAACACCACAGTGAAACCTGTCTTGCTATATGGGGCAGAAACATGGCGAACAACAGCAGCTGGTTCAAAAAAGCTACAGACCTTTATCAACTCATGTCTCCGAACGATTTTACGAATCCGCTGGCCCACCGTCATCACCAACGAGGATCTCTGGCGGCGCACACAACAAGAACCAGTGGAAGAGTTAATCTGCCAGCGCAGATGGAGATGGATTGGCCACACCCTCAGAAAGCCCGCATCAAGTATCACGAGACAAGCCCTGACTTGGAACCCCCAGGGTAAGAGAAAAAGAGGTCGACCCAAAACAACTTGGAGAAGGGAACTGGAGGCAGACATCAAAAAGAGTGGGCACAACTGGGGACAGTTGGAGAGACTTGCCCAAGACCGGGATGCCTGGAGAGCCTTTGTTTGTGGCCTATGCCCCAGACGGGACGACAGGCGATGATGATGATGATGAGTATATCATTGCCACCATATTGGTTTTCGTTTATCTCGATCATCGGTTATTTCGGCGCATTTTGGCAAATCCCTAGACCGTTGACTTAACCGGGTTCTACTGTAGTAGGCATAGCCATAGTCCGTCGGTCATAGCATAGTCATAACCTTGCCTATTAAGTGAAGTTGTTTTTAAGAAAGAAAGAACAAATAAATATGCATAATCTCAAGTGTTTCTTATTATGACTAATCTGCAGGCTCAGGAGATTCGGAATATTGCTTCTGAAGAAGAGGAAGCAATGGAAAGAGACCCTCAGTTAGATCTCAATTTGTTTCAAGCATCTTGTAATTTTCTTAAAAGTGCTATACGGGATGTGAAGAACCTAAAGGCCAATAAAACGGATGTGAGTTGTTTCTTATTATAAAAATACTATTCAGCATTGTGATTACAATATTAAAAGCATTTTTAAAAGTGTTGCATTTCATGATGATTTATATTGGAATGTTCTGAAAGAAGTCGTTGTTATATGTAGGCTTAAAGTGAATCACATTGCTTGGCATCTTGCTCTTATTTTTTTTTTATTTTACAAAAAGATATTAATAATATTAATTATGATATATTTTTATACTTTTAACACTTATTTATACAGGCTACGTCAGAAATTAATTCCATTCGCACAGATGCCACCATTCATTTCATACACATGAAGAAATTGAATAGGCTGGCTCATTTCCGCTGTCGGAAGGTCAGAGAGAATACAAATGAGGTTTGTAAAAAGAAATGTGTAAAAAATAATAATATTATTATGGTACTTCAAATATATCTCTCAATGTACTTTTAAGTTCAATAACATATTAACCTGTGCTATTACCTGTCTGTTCTAATAAACCATTCCAGCAATAATATTAACATTTTTGAAGAAGATATTAAAAAAAATTATTGTAAATTCTAAGCACAGAAGACTTATTGATGATAATCAAATTCAACTGCCAATAGTACATAAAAAAATGTATCAATGTTTTTAATTAAAAATAATTTCTACCACAGGCCAAGCACAAAATTGATCAGTGTCATCTACAGCTTCAAAATTTACTGTATGAAGCTATGCACTTAGAGAAAGAAATCACAAAATGTATGGAATTCAAGTTAGTAAAATTTCTGCTCAGATGTTACTTTTTTTAAAATAAAGCAATGTCTTTTGCAGCCTAAATAACCCAAACAGTTTTACATGACATAGCTGTTTGCAAAATTTTTAAAAGCTGTAAAACCTTTCTTCAAGTGTTCAAGCTAGTATGTTGTAATTATTTGTTGTTTTATTTTTACTTTAGATCTAAAGATGAAGAAATTGAGCTGGTACCTGTGGAAGAGTTTTACTTAAATGCTCCAGAGAACATTTCAAATCCTGTAAATATGCTAGTGTTTATTCTGTTATGATTTCATGATGTGAATTTTGTTTACTCAGAAACACACAAAAAATCTATTTTTTAAACTTAATAATTTAAGCTTAAACAATTTTTAAGCCGTGGAATTTTAAATATTTGCCAAACAAAGAAGAAGAAAAAAGGGATTTCTTCTCATTAAAAGCTTGATGAAGCCATACATGGATATTACATAAAACTATCCATGAATTATTGATTTCGAGGTTTAAAATCACTTTTAAATGAAAAACACTAGAGAGTAAATTACAGTCAAATTTACAAAAATAGGGTTCATAATTTTTTTTTTTCAAAGATGGTTCTACGTATTGATCAGCCACTGTTTCTCTCTTTTCTTGTATTAAAACTTGTATTTTATGTTTTACATAATTTTGCCTATGTTTAACAATTTCCTCCAATTATTTTATATAAGGGTACAACTTCAGGGGATGCTCACTTACAGATGTTAGCAAGGCTTGAATGGGAATTGGAACAAAGAAAACAGTGAGTATCTTTTTATTTAAGTACTCGGTACCCAAAATATTGAAAATATGCAAAATAAAATACACTGTGTTTTACTTTTTGGTCATTATCTTGTATAACGGCTGTATTCAAAACATGTATAATGGTGCCGGTACTTATTTAGTTTTTTTCCTTACAAATAGTTAAAAAAAGAAATTTAAATTTCCTTGTAGAAGCAATATTTATTGCCATAACATATTTTAGATTGTCCACAAAGCTGACTGAGACAAAGAAGAGTAAAGAGCAGATAAGCAAAGAAATCCAAGCTAAACAAGATTACCTGGAAACTCTGCAGCCAAAGTTAACAGCTATACTACAGGTTAAAAATGCATTGTTATCTATACTGAGCATTTTTATAATTCCACTTAAGAAATGTTGTGTTTTTTTTTCAAAGACTTAATATTGTGATTATCTCTTACAAGGTTAAGCAGTTTATAAACTTCTTTTTTTTTTAAAGTTTAATCTAGTGGTTGGTATTTTTTTTAATGTTACGCAAAGACAATTAAAGTTTTTTTCCAGATTTTATATTGATACTAAATTGACTTACAATAGAAATGTAAAAAAAAATTCGGATGAAATATCTATTGTAAAATTTATTATATTTTATTTTTTTGTCCAGGCCACTCGCCCTGTTCAAGATTATTTGTCTATGCCCTATGATGCCATCAAGGAGGAGCAACAAACTGCTCAACATCTGCCTGTCCCCCTTTATGTCTTGTACATGCAGACTTCAGCATACAAAGATGCCTGTGGTTAGTTTATTCTTCTTCATATTTAATGATCGCTCTAGTTCAAGCAACCTGCCTAATATTTTTCCGTTATATTTTGGCTTGAAGTCTGCTCATTTCTGGCTTAAAAGCCCCTTAATGATGCTCCTGATACAGGTGTTGTTACTTTATTCACAGAGAACACTATTTACTAATGATACATGATACTTAAGTTTTCATGGTGGTCAGTTATGTTGAGATGCTGTTTTTTAAATTTTTAAATGCACAGAATGCTTTCCATTACTGTAAAATTGCTATAAGTTGAGCGTTGTCATTTAATCTTTGTAAAATTTATTTTAAACATTTATCAGATACTTTTGAAAATATCTTATCTTCAGACAAGTGTCTTAAAGTATCAATCACCGGAGATGTTGATGCATCTAAATCTTTATCAACATGGACTTTTGAGCCTGGTGGGTACTTTATTCATAATAAAATGTTTAAATTAGTAATAGATTTGACATAACTAAAAATGCATTGAGGGTAAAATTCAATACCATTTTTGAGTTTATACGTCCATATAGGTTTTCTCCTTTTTTTACCAAAAATTTTGATAAATATCACGAGTGTGACCTATCCACTGGACATGAGTTTTGCTTGCTATTATTCTTTGTAGAATAGTCATTTATACAAAAAGTTGGAGAATTGCTTTTTTCCTTGCTTACGCTCGAGCAGACAATCAGTTTTTTTTTAATGTTATTAGAGATGACATAGTTTATGATGATGGCTTGTCAGTTTTCAAGTTGTTATGGAAGTATAAACCATAGTCTAATTTGATGGCAATAAAACTTTACCCACATTTTTATACTGATCATGCAATGTGGTTAAAATTTTGAAAGTTTTATACATGAAATAGAAATTTGCAAATTAGAATGAATCAAGCTCCTTAAGATGCCCAGAATTGATTTTATTGACACATTTTTGTCTGGTTCTAACAATAGTCAACCTTTACAAACTTAGCCATAAGGCAATTGTTAATAATCTTTTTATGAGAGATTCATTTACAATAACTTATGATTTGGACAAACCCAGCTGATGCAGTTGAGATAAATATTCTCACTATTTTTTTTTTGTACACAACATTAAGATACATGCTGTTTTTAATAATAATAGCTTTATTTTAAAAAATGTATGATTTTAGTTATTAATTCAAGTTTTTTAAGTAAAGGCGTTAAGCAACACCAATAGTTTGATATTGCAAATAGCAATCACTCCCAAGTTGAAATTAAATCAATAGAAATATGGAAATACATAAGTCATTATGCTAATAGACAAAATATTTCATTCTTCGCCGACATCAGATGATGAATCTGACAGTGACCAGGAAGATCAGGAGAAACAAGATACAGTAAGTCAGCTAACATGTCCCATTGATCATATTCTGTCTATATAATTGTGAATGTACACCATTAACACATTTTTCAATTAAAAAGAGGAAAGATTTTTAATAAAGAGTTATATGTAACTATTCTTTCTATGAGGTGACACACTGGTTGTCCTAGCATATTTTATGTTTATTAGTATGTAAAGGCAATATATTATTATATGAGATCTGAAACAATTTAGTTGAAGATTTTTTAAGGGCTTAATTAAATTAATGGCTCAAATTTTTCTTCATACACTTAGTATTAAGGACATGTTTTTTTTATCTTATTCTTTTTAAAAATTAGCTGTTAAATAGCTGAGACCTTTGTAAACTTTCTTACAGCTCACTCACACATGCCAATGGCCAAGAAATTTTTAAAACTATTTTCAATTTTATCATACATTTTTTTCACTAATGACATACTTGCTTCACTAATGACACATTTTGTTCACTAAAGACATATTTGGTGAAGCTAATTTAACTGATGTAAATAAATATCCCTGAATTAATTGCAATTAATATTTTAAATTTTCTTTATAGAAACGCAGAAGAAAAACTTCTGAAGCTCGAAGTCAAGAAAAGAAAAATAGAGTTTTAAAGAAACACCCTCTCTCTGTTATTTTAGAGATATGCACAGAAGGTGACTTTATTTTTTAGAAACTGGAGGAAATGAGAGCTAATTATGTATAATTTAACTCTTTCGCTGTGGCGCAACTCACAGTACCTTCATCCGCCTTGCTGAAAAGCACGGACCAACGCAATGTTGATTGTTTCAATATCATGGTTGTTTCTTAGCTATTTCTCGGTTAAACCTTTTAAGAGCTATTTTTTAATTAGACTTTTACTTATGAGTGGTACTTCGTTGTTTATGAGCAAAAGCAAGGTTTATTAGTTGTCCTGAGAAACATTGTTTTTGTTAGACTTTTCGCTGTTTTTTTTTTTCTTTATCAATAAAACTGTTGCTATGGCTACCACAAGCCCTATTGGGTTAAGTAAGTGTCCTAGGCAATTAATAGCTCAAAACTCTTTGGAAATGTTTTATACTATTTAAGATAAGATAAGATATTTTTTTATTGATCCAAACAAATGGAAATGTTTTTTTATTGCATTGTCAGCACATACATAAAACAACTTGAACACAAGACATCTATAATAAATTATTTCACTAGTGAAAAAACAGCCATTCAGTGAATTCTCTTAGCCATATCAGGGACTTATTAGTTCTCATTAAGATTTGTGATTTCAGGGGGAGCTTGCTGGTAAATTTCTATTGACAGTGAAGATGATTTAGATTTAGATCCATCACATAACTCCGTAGTCGTTGTTTCAGATGATTTGAGTTGTATCAGTGAAGATGATGTATGCCTTCAGAAATAAGTTAAAAACATATAGTTCATTCAGTTATCTTTCATTTGATACCAAATTTAGCCTTTTAAAGCAAAAAATAATATTTAAAATATTTGTTTGATAAACCCAACCTCTCACTCTTTATCTCTCTTTGAAAAAATGTACAATATTTTCATTTAAAAAGTTCCGCAGCAAAAGAGTTAATTAAATAATTGTATTAAATTAATTTTAACTGAAATATATAAAATATGTTAAATGCATACAGTACCTATTCAAGCCATCCTAATTGTGGGTATGGAGATTCAGATAATCAATCATGTACTATAAGTTATAAATAAAATCAGTTTTTACATGAATAATAATTTATAAGATACTTAACTGAGATGCACTCTTGTTTTAGTGATGTGCTTGTCTTTTGCAAGCATTCTTTTTGAAAGTTAGATGCCAACATATATTAACTTTGTCTCCAACAGATGGAACTGAACTCCAGCTAACATTCTGCTATCTCATAGCCCTGAACATCATAACTGTCAACGTCAAGTTCACCCTCAGTGAAAAGGTTGTGGCAAACTCAGTAACTGGAGGGTAAGGGATCCATCATCATTAGACTGTTCCAAGGACTATTTGGGCATGCCCCCCTTGGACCCAAGGCTTACTTCTCAATTCTATTTGACCTACATGTGACAGGGGTTGAGTTTTCTAAATGGATGTCCGGTGACCTTCATTGTCCCCTCCCCCCCACCCACCCCACCATATCATCAGGAGCCTATGCAATAGGATCCAACAGAAGATGCCCTTTAGTCAAATTGCCCTGTTAAGATCCATTCTTACTATCCTTACCGTGTTACTACATTTTTAGGAGCTTGAGACAGCCCAAGGCTTATGGAGTAAAAAATTTTCCTATGAATTCTAACCACAACAAAATGCCATGATAACATATATTGTTTGCAAAAAAAATGTCCATGATGAAAAGTAGAATAAGTCCAGTACCGGTATTAATTTTCCATCAGAATTATATCAAGGGTTGGCATTTTTTAATTAGCCATCAACCCTAGTTAAGACCAAAGCCATTTATAACATTAGATTAATGCTGACTGTGAAAGTGTTCTAAGAACAATTTTTTTCATTTTCCTAGAGATCTGATTTCCTCTGATTCCATCCTTGATGAGCTATATCCTGGAGACCATGGCAACGACTCACCTAACTTGGCTAACCATTTTGAGCTGAAGAAACATGGGTAATTTTTTTCATTTTCTGTCATTTATTTTTGTGTCTAGAATTTATCAATATTATAAGATCGTAAATGTAAAAAAAGCCCACTTTTTTTTTTACTCTTAACAAGAGCTTATTTATTAATATTTCATTAGATTATTTTGAAACCATAGATTTAAATATGAATTTGTGATTCATCCCAGGCTTCAAGATCTTTCCACATACATCCCTCTCATTGGTCGACCTTACCTTTGGTGTCAGTGGATGGGAGGTTTGCAGTTCCTTAAGAAAGATATGAACAATATAGAGGAGACAGTAGCTGGAGACGAAAGTGCTGGCATTGCAAAACTTTCAGCAGTCAGAGCTCGGCACAGCATCAGTGCCGCCAATATGCAGAAGACAATTTTGCTGCTTGGCGAAAGAATAGATGCAAGAATAAGCCTTTTACAGCAGCTTTCGTCCTTGGGTCAGTTTGAAGTCAGAAAATTAATTCATACTAACTACAGTGCATTAACAACCTTTCATTTTTAATTTCTACATTCACCTGCAAATAAACATTTCAAAATCATTCATTCAAAATAAAAAAATTGATTTGGCATGGGTAATTTAAAACAATTATTTATATGACTTTAATTGTTTGTCAAGTTCAATAATGTCATCCATTTAATACTGTGAAGAAATTAGACAAGTTTGCTTTTTAACCTGTATAATTGAGAATTAATTATCCAGTTTAACCCTCGAACTGTGGTCGGCCGACGAAATCAGCCGATATTCTCGTTCTGTGCTGTGGCGGCCGAAAAAATCGGCCGATAAAAAACAGGGTCCGATAGCAACTTCCAATCCAATATTTAACCGAAATCATAGCCACTTCCTTTAATTAATAATCAAATCAACTTCCGGGTCAAGCTGTTTCTTGATAACTTTACAAGAAATACTTTTTAATAGGAATTTTATATCGCTGGTTTTTTTTAAAGCTAAAATGGCGGAAGCTTGGGCCGGGCCTTCAGTACGAGAACTAATATAAATATTTTTTAAAGCTTTTTAGGAGAGGATTTAAGTGATACTGATGATGATTTTAACATTCCCCATGACATCTCACTTCAGATTCTTCTTTTCGTGAATCTGATACTAGTCTTAGTGATAGTAAAAGTAGGCCTACTGAGGCTATTGTTTGACTTCGAGCCAGGCCCAGATGTTGAGCAAGGACTGACTGAATTTTAGTCACAGAAGCTACAGATTATAGATAGGAACTAATATATTTTATAGTTTAACAACCCAAATCAGTTCCACAGTTCATTTTTAAATGTTTGCTAGTCAATAATAACTATTTTGCCTGAGATTTTTTAATTTTGTACTGGTACTTGGTTTTAGCTGTGGTCCCAATTTCTTATGTAAATGACTTAAAATTACTAAAATTGCTTTCAGAGGTTTAATTGTTATCAAAACCTTAAAAAACTATACATTTTCTGAAAGATAAATGAATTGCTTACAACATTTAGATTTGTGTTTTAAGTGTATCTATAAAAATTAATGATGTTGTGAGTACTTGAAAGCAAGACATTTTGTCGATTTTTTTTTCTTGAGCACTCCAAGGTCAAGGACACTGACCAAAATATTTTTAATGGGCTGGTCAATATTTCCAACTTTATCCCCATCCATTTACCTTTCTAAAAAATATATACTTATAGGGGTCTTGCATCAATATTTCTATATCATTTAATGCAATTTCAAAAGGCACTCAAAAAGCTCTGAAAAGCTCCACACCACAGAATGATGCATGCCACAGTTCGAGAGTTAAACTTAAAAATAAAAAACAATATTTTTTACTGCTAAAAAAAAACACAAAATAAAATAATGTTTTGGGTAATTATTGGCTATCATAGATGCTAAGAAAAATTTCTTAAATACCGGTATTTAATGCTTGTATGTCAATCTTCTATCGCCTTTAACAATGGTTAAACCGTTGTTTCGTTTGCTCACAGAGAGAAGCATAATTCCAGTGTCTGCAGATTCTGTGAAAATGTTCCCTGCCAAAATAAATGCCCAATTGTCCGTGTGGCGACGCTCTACCTTTGAGGATCTTCAAAGTTTACCTCAAGCTGAGAAGTTTATAAAGGCAGGCCTGGTCAGCTCTTCTGACATGATCTTCTTGGCCATCATAGACAGAGGATCAGGTAAAAGTCTTATAATTTCTTAAAAGATATTTAACTGTAAGGATTTTGTACCTTTAAACATCCAGTGCCTAAATTTCTAGAATCATATTTCTTCCCAAAATAAATTATACCAACGAACCACTTAGAAGTCTATAGGAGAAGAATTGGCACACAGAAATTGTCAAGCTTTGTTGCCTGACATGAACTTAAATAACTGGGTAGCTAAAACACCATTAGAACAACTATATAATGTTACGATTACATAAATTTTAGTGTGCTCGTTTAGTTTTTGTTATCAACTGTGCTTTGAATTCACCTGCATGATGTGATACAAAATAATGTAATGTGATGATACTTCTGTTCCCGTTTTATATATGCGGTGGCTGATGTTAGTGCCTGGCCAGCTGGGTCTGTGTATTGATAAAATTCTTGTTATCTACCACTCAAACTCAAAGACATTCCTGTGACGGTTCAACTTGATAGTTGATATAATACAAGAGAAGGAGTGGCCATCTTTTATAAAAAGAAAAAAAAAAAAAGCAATTAATTTAAATTTCTCAAAGGATTCATTCATCATAGTGTACTGTATTGTTTAGCGACTGGGTCTTCCAAATATTTTCAATCTCCTGGTGCAGTCTGTGTAGCTTATTGGATAATTTATCTTGTTTTCTGCCTTTTTAGCAAAGATGACAGCATACGTTGTTCTTACTGCTGACTGCCCACAAGTTGCACCAATCATCATAGTGGATATTATGTGGCAGTTCCAGAGGACAGCTCTTAATGATGTATACGTTATGGTAAACAAAATTAATTCGACCTCCCCTCTGAACTCACCCTGCCAATCATTTCTTATTTATTTAGACTTGGAAGTCTTTTATGAATTTTTTAATAGGCTATTATAAGAGATATAACAGTCGTTAAGGCTATAAGAGATCTAATAATCTTTAAGGCCATAAGCGATATAACAATCTTTAAGGCTATAAGAGATATAACAATCTTTAATTACTTTAAATGTGTTGTTTTTTCTTTTATAAATCTTGTCATGAATTTGATGTCAGGAAATGGAGGAGGAGGTCAATTTGCACTTTCATGAACTCATCATTGGCAAGTCACGCAAACAGCTGCTTCCCAACCAGTTGCAAAGACTCCTCATGTGTTTTGATGTTTACTTGGAGACAGACACCCCAGCATCTTCTCTGGTGCCAGTGGAGATACCTAAGGAGAAAGTAATACCCAGGACAAGCAGGTAAAAAAAAGGATAAATTATTTGAGTCAATAACAAACTTTGTAATAAAATAGTAATTGGTCCCTGGAATAGTAATCGGTCCCTGGAACTATTTACCTGAAATCTTGCAGTATGATAACATAAAGTGGTCTTTTTAAATTAAATAGTAACAAAGTATTACCTGTATATTAACACTGCATCAGTTACAGTTATACCAATCACTGTTTACAGAGTTTAATATCAGTTTTAAGATGCTGTTAGAGATTTCTCAGCTTTTAATGAGGTATATTTGTTGCTTTCTGTGTGGGGAAACTCTTGTTTTATTGATAACACTGGTCAACAAATCTTTACAAAAGTCTTATCAGTTTTTATGTGCTCAACATAAATGTGACAATATAACAATATGACAGTCAAATGGAGAAAGTTGCTCTAGTTTTGTTGTAATCTGAAATAAATAAATGTTAACATCACCAAATGCATGTCAAAAGCATGCCTTTGGTTAATAGCTGTAAAAAAAATCAAGTCATAGACTACTTCTAAGATTTCTTCACCTGTCTCTTGTACAGCTGTTCAGCAGTAGTCAGCCAGCATTGTAGTGAACCATTGTGTCCAGCAGTTGTCAGCCAGCATTGTAGTGAACCATTGTGTCCAGCAGTTGTCAGCCAGCATTGTAGTCGACCATTGTGTCCAGCAGTAGTCAGCCAGCATTGTAGTGAACCATTGTGTCCAGCAGTTGTCAGCCAGCATTGTAGTGGACCATTGTGTCCAGCAGTAGTCAGCCAGCATTGTAGTTGACTATTGTGTCCAGCAGTAGTCAGCCAGAATTGTAGTGGACCATTGTGTCCAGCAGTAGACAGCCAGCATTGTAGTGGACCATTTCCCCTGGTATCTTTGTTCCATTGTTGCTATATCTTGATGAAAACGTTTGTCGTGTTCATCACTAACCGTACCACATTTGCTGTGGTCCAGTTGGGACTGAAGGAATTGGATCTTTAGAGACTTATTCAACTTATTGCAGCAAAGTTTCTGATGCTGTATCAGCATGTCTTCTACTAGATCATTGTAGTTTTCTGCGCTAACATTCCCAAGAAAGTTTGTAGACACTAGGCGAAATGCATTCCATGCTTATTTCTCATCACCCTGCAGCAAATAGTTGAACCGGTCACATTTGACAAGCTCTCGAATCTGAGAACCCACAAAAACTCACCTCTTTAATCTTTGCTTCGCCGAGTTTGGGGAATTTTTCTTGCAGTTATCTGAAAGCTGTTGAAGTCCAGTCTATGGCTTTCACTAAGTTCTTCATCAAACTTAGTTTGATGTGGAGTGGTGGTAGCAGGATTTTGTTAGCCTCGACCAGAGGGCTGCTGGATATTCTTCTCTCCAACTGCTACATTTTGTAACGAGTCCATTCCTTTCCGCAAGTAGTGCAATTCCCTAGCCAGGCTATCCCACTCACATAAGAAACTCATGTATTTTGTATATCCCTGCTGCGGTCCCATGAAAAGGACAAATACCTTTAAATCACCACAGAGGTGCCAGCTGTACTTGTTATACTCAATGGAATTCAGTGGCTGCTTTAAGTTGTCATATGTCTCTTTCATGTGGACAGCATGCTCTACTGGAATAGATGGAAAATGGTATCCATTGTGCAAAACCACAACCTTAAAACTCAGATTTAAAGAATCTACAAAATAGTCTCCATTCTTGTGGGTCATAAGTGATTTTTAAGGCATTCATAAGGCCCTCAATATCGGAACAGAATACCAGATTACTTTCCTTACTGAAGAAAGGCTCCAACTGCTGGTGGCGCTTTCAATATAAAGTTATTGTAACTTTTTCTTCTAGAAGATTCCATTGTTGTAGTCTTGAACCTAGCAATTCTGCCTTTTTCTTGGATAAGTCCAAATCGCAACCCCGGTCATTTAGTGCTTCCCGTGTTAGTCTGTGTGGGGTTGATGATGCACCACAGCAAAAATCTCCAATACTAAATGCTGATGGACCAGGAGAAGAACAGGTTGGCTCACCCTTGTCCTCATCAGATGAATCAAGAGAATATTCTGCTGGAGGTTCTGGAACAGGAAGACCCTCACCATGGGGAACTGGTCTGTGTGCAGACGGAATGTTTGGGTAGATTATTCTCGACTTCTTTTGCTTTGTCACTCAGCCAAAAAGAGTAAGAACAAAGCAGAATTAACAGTCATTTATGTGGTTACTTGGCTCTCTCTCCACACAATAGAGACTGCAAATGGCTTTGATTTAGGATATTCTTGCATTCCTACTAGATACATTTACACGGTGAAACATAGAAAATGAACTACCGTTTATTAAAAATCTTCAAAACGAGAGACAATGAAAAAAACATTTCAGGGTTATATTCGTGTTCACCACACCAAGATGCTACATATTAGGGCATTTTTAAGTCAGTAACGATTTCAATGTTGACCAGTGTAATAAGAATTAAAGTAGATCTATGCATATGAATAGTCAGAAGAGCAAATGAAACCCTTTTAAAAAAAATGCTGTTCTATTTCTTTCGATTAACATTATGTCATTTGCAAACTATTTCTCTCAACAGGGGTCCGGCTCGTTCCAAGCCCTACAAATATGTTCCAGAACTTGGTATATTCACACACAGATGTTATAATTAAGTGAATGTCATCATGTGTTCATGTCTCTAGAAAAAAACACAAAGTTAACATTTTAGAGTTCTCTAGGTTCCTATTTTTTATATGATCGATAGATAAAGGCAAACAGAAAAAGCTAATTATGTTAAAAAAGCAAACTGCATTTCTTAAAATCCCATTTGTATTCTTTGTTTCACATTTGTAACAATCTTTCCCAGCTTCTCCACCTGGCACAAGAAAAAACTCATGATATTTAAGTGGAATTTATAATTCCAAACAGTCAATTATTTTATCTAAATTTAACTTAATTTATTATTTTAAAAAAAAGAGAATTTCTGATAGCAACCTCCAGTTCCCCTTATTGTACAATTACACAAAAAGCTCTCATTCTATTTTGTGTTTTTGTGGTTTTTTTTTTACAAATGTCTTAACTCCCGCTTGAGGTTACATTATCATTTTTCTTTTTTTTTTTTTTACTGTAGAATATGACTGTTATTAGTGTTATATTTTAAAAAAAAGAGAATTTCTGATAGCAACCTCCAGTTCCCCTTATTGTACGATTACACAAAAAGCTCTCATTCTATTTTGTGTTTTTGTGGTTTTTTTTTTTACAAATGTCTTAACTCCCGCTTGAGGTTACATTATCATTTTTCTTTTTTTTTTTTTTTACTGTAGAAGATGACTGTTATTAGTGTTATCATCCACACAATAAAAATATATGAAACAGGGTTTGGGAAAACTTGAAAAGAATGACACAACGAAGCAACAATTGTGTTGGCCAGAAGAATCCTTTAGCAAACAAACAACGAGTAACACAAAAATGAAAATTTCAGCTAATTGCTTATTTTTATATCGGTATCACTTGTTAGTTCTCTGAAGAAGGCTTCTTTGCAAACACAGACGTTGCTTTGTTTCCTCCTTTTTTTTTAGGTTTTCCCATAATTTGTTTCACCCATTTCCTTCTACTTCTACCTAAACTTGATTGCAGTCTCACCCCACTTATTATATACAAAAAATCAATGCTAGCAGTTATTTTTTAATGAAAATAAACATAAATATAATGAGAAGTCCTTTTTTTATTTTTATCATTGGTTTTTGGAATTTAATTACTACTGTTTCATTGTTAGGGCAACCTCTAAACCTTAAAATCTGAATCGTTAATGGTGTCCATTCTATGGGGGTAAGATAACCAAGGAAAAAAAAAATTTATTTTCGGAGAGAAAAGAGCATAATGGGTTGGTGCGTATGATTTCCGCTTTTATATCATTTGTGGTTGTCATGGTTTGGCTGAGTAAACATGGATCGAATGACATCACCAAGAATTGAGAGGAAAGAAATTATTCAGAATAAAAGCATACATTTTATTCTAAAAACTCTATTATTGGGTATGTTTTAATTAACCCTACTTAACTTACTGGAATTGGAATGGAGTTTAGAAACAACAAACATGATTTTGGAACCAACTCAAACTGATTTGAGAAAATGTGAAGAGTTATTAAGCGAAATCGTAATAGTTTGTTACCAATGTTATTATTGAACTAGCCAATATACCCAGCTTGCTTGGATTTGTATTCGGAAAAAGACTAATAAAGCCTTATCACAGAAGACCTAGATTTAGCGCCCTGTCAGAAACACTTCCCTTGAGACCAATAAAATGAAAATAAATATTTCTCCCATAAAAAGCCAGATGTATAAAAAAAAAATTTTAACTTTTAAAACATTGACTTAGGGCTAGGGCCCACCCATTTCAGTGAATATTCAAGATGGGCACAGCCCAAGAAACCATGGTTTAAAGATCACCGGTAAATCTAACTTTTAAAAGATTTCTTATTTTTAAAAAAAAGGTTTTCATCAAAGCTAATGATATGGCCAATTCCAAAAAGAGGACAATCTAGTCATCCCTAAGACAAGGGAACTATAATAAAATCATTCAGATAAAGATTCAAGTTAATTTTTTTCAAATTTACCCCATTTAAAAAGATGTCGATGTCAAAGATGATGCCTTTTAAATCTTTACTATTGTGCGGCGCCCCCACCCCCCGGCACTAAAAGAACTTTATTTTTAATATTTAACAGCAGTGAGCATTTTATGTTTGTTAATGAACAAACTATTTTTAAAAATAGGTTGAAACACGCCAAAGATATAGCGTTTTATTTAAAATAAAATAAGGCCTCCGTGCACAAAAAGATGTAGGCCTACATATTATTTGTTTGAAATTCATCAATATATTAAAGGTATTGCAAAAGGTAGGCTGATGACCACCAAGTTTGACCTGGATGCAACAATTTACATAGAAGCTTGCATTGTAGCCCAAGCCTTCATGTGTAGCTTTGGTTTTTATAAAGATCATACATTGTAGAAGCAGAACATTCTACACACTCATGTGTAGCTTTGGTTTTTATAAAGATCATACATTGTAGAAGCAGAACATTCTACACACTCATGGGGAGCTTTGGTTTTTATAAAGATCATACATTGTAGAAGCAGAACATTCTACACACTCATTTGGAGCTTTCTAGAAACTTCAAAATATCTTTAAATCTAATTTCATAAATTTGAGGAAAATCATAAAGGCTGTCAGAAACATAAATTGAACATTTATAAATATAGGCCCTATTAATCATCAAATAACAGTTAAGATAATGTCTCTTCTATGTCATTAATATTTCAATGGTAAAACAACAAAAAATAACTCTGGGCGTTTTCCTTTAAAGATAAAATAAAGTCCCAGGTGGGGACCTGTTCTATAAGCTGACGTTATAATTAGAACTAAGTTAGGGGTCCTGAGTCCTATACATGTTCTTCAGATGTATACTGAAGTTAAAATTTAAAAGTTTCCCATTAAAATCTGTTGAAAAAAGGGAAGGAGATATCGTATATAAGGACTTAGCATCCCTGATTGTGGTGAATATTTTGTAAAAACGATAAGATTTTCAAGAGCATTTGTACCAAGTTTAATCTCGATTTAGCCACAAATTGTAATTTTATTTATGTTGCTCATATAAGAAAAAACGAAATATGGGCCCCCCCCCCCCCAAAAAAAAAATAAAATCCTTAAACGGCATATTTTTAAGAACAAAAGTAAGCCTTCTGGGTAATGAAGTGTTGTAACTATGTATTCCAAATTTGATCGATATTCAATATCCATTTATCCACGGATGAAATCAAAAGCATTTGTACCAAGTTTAATCTCGATTTAGCCAAAAATTGTAATTTTATTTATGTTGCTCATATAAGAAAAAACGAAATATGGGCCCCCCCCCCCCCAAAAAAAAATAAAATCCTTAAACGGCATATTTTTAAGAACAAAAGTAAGCCTTCTGGGTAATGAAGTGTTGTAACTATGTATTCCAAATTTGATCGATATTCAATATCCATTTATCCACGGATGAAATACAGACATGTTTTCGCTCATGTACCGTACCGTACATGGTAGATGATATTACTCTCGTAAGATTCATGGATGAACATTTGAAATCTTATTAAGTGATTTAAACTACAACTTTCTATTCAAGACATACACATAATTAAAAATCATGTAGGCCTATGTATTGATGAATAACGTTTTAAGTTTTTTTGTTTTTTTTCATTGTTTATTGTCTTGCATTGTCACTGATTTTAACTACAACACTACCGTGTTAATACTGTTAGCGGATGTCCATAAAAAAAATCTAGACATCAACTTATTGTATGGTGCATTTCAGAAACTAATCATGAATATAGAATATGAACATATCTGTATATACAAAGGAGAAATCAACTATGTATTGAAATTCTTCCATATGTAACAAGTTGTGTCTTTGAGACATTGCCTACTTTGCTCATAACATGCACCAACCCATTCAGTGACATAACTTTGTTGAACGATGATTCAGGGTTACGGCCACACATTGCGATTCTCCCTTCCCAACACACGTCTGCTTTATAAAGTTGGTAATAAAATCTAAATCAATAAAAGAATAACCGGGACTGTAACCCATATCACTCATTATGCACGCCCATGACATATATGATCATTAAAATCTAATGTTCAGAACCCCAGTCCCCATGCAGTCAACTGTAGTTTTTTAATATGGTAGGCCTAAATGTATCTCCGTATATTTAATGAACTATAGCGGGCCAAACAATGGCGGCCTCACTGCATGAAGCGCGTCCCATCTACTAAAGTTCATTGACAAAACATGCATTCAAGTAAGGGGGCGTCCGTTAATTAGGTCAACTAAATGGGTGGGGGTGGGTTCGGAAGTGATTGACAGTTGTTGACAAGGGGGAGGGAGGGGGTTTAGATTAGTTGACGTCAATAATCCTGTTTTCTCTCTTAAAATTTTAATCTTAAAAATTGACTGGTTATTACATTATTTTAAAAAAATGTATAAATGTAAATGAGTGTAAATAGTCATATAATTTTTAGGCTTTAAACAATATAAGAATTATTTAATTTGTGTCTGTGCACTGCAGATGGCTGGTCAAAATGTTAGCACACTTTGTTAGTGCAAGAGAAGTCAAAAATTGGCCTCTCTTCACCTGTAGATTCTGTTGCAGGTATAGGACAAGGTTCAAGTTTCATGTGCAGTCAAGTTACATGATATTGATAGCGTAGGAATACGATATTTTGTGAATTAGGTGAATGTAAAGTGAGTAACAATAATAACACCACCCCTTGTCAACAACTGTCAAACATTTCCAGCCCCCCCCCCCTTTTTTTTTTGGTTGACGTAATTTTCGTAATTCATTGACGCCCCCAAAAAAAATTTTGGGAATTAGGTGAATGTAAAGGTAGTAACAATAATAACACCACCCCTTGTTAACAAGTGTCAAAAATTTCCAGCCCCCCCCCCCCTTTTTTTTTTGGTTGACGTAATTGTCGTAATTAATGGACGCCTCCAAAAAAATAATTTTTACAGGTTTCATGAAGGATATTACATTTAATCTCGAATGTTCCAGAAGGTTCTCTAGTGTTCTATGGGGATATACAATGGGATCTAGAAGCGTATTCGAAGAAAATTGCTCTGAGCATGATCCCACAGAGCACATATTTCAAACTCAAGGCCCGCGGACCACATCCGGCCCGCTGTACAATTAATATCAGGCCCGCGAGGTCTTGACCGGCGTACAATTATATCCAAGTCAACGCTATGGTGTTTCCCAATGCACACTTTGCTGAAAATTTAGCTTACTTTGCGCCGAGTTCGCACGGCGCTTTAGTGACTTTGAAGCACAGAAATGTAATTTCGAGCTGTTTCGTAACACATTTGTCATAGACGTGGAAACTGCACCTGTAAATTTGCAGTTTAGCTAATAGAGCTGCAGTGTAATTGGACACTAAAGGCAAAGTAAGACACAGTTGGGCCTCCACAGTTCACTCGTTTCATTCCTGAAGAGATGCACCAGCTTCGTCTACATGCGGCTCGAACCTTTAGCATGTTCGGTAGCTCATATATGTGTAAGCAGCTGTTTTCTGTGATGAAGATTAACAAAACATCACACGAGTCGTCTCACTGATGAACACTTGCAGTCCATCACGAGAATCGCAATGACGCAGAACGTTTCTCCAAACATAAACGAACTTACTTGTTTATGTAGCCAAGAAAATATGCCAAACATCCAGCTGACAAATTGGCATAAGAATGAAAATGTGTATGCAAAAGATTTTTAATTATTAAAAGTTTTTTTCTGTTTTCATTAATTTTATATACATATTGTTTTTTTTTTTTTTTTTTTTTTTTTTAAAAATTATTTTTTTTTTTTTTGGGCTTTTTTCTTTTTTTACCCGCAACTTTACTTTTGTTTTGGGTTTTGAAATTTTATATACTTATTGTTTTTTTTTTTTTTGTTTTTTTTTTTAAAGATTAATGTTCTTCTTATTGGGCGTTTATCCTGTTCGACCCGCAACTTTACATGTGATTTGAGTTTTGGCCCGCCGGGCGATTGAGTTTGACACCCCTGCCATAGAGGAACAGGATCCTAATGAGGAACGAGATCCAACAGTGAACTGGAACTCATCGGTAACGCGATCCCATCGGGTAGCGGGATCCTATCTTGAAACAAGATAACATCGGAAAAGGGGGTCCTTGATTGGAACGGGATCCCACAGAGAACGGTATCCTAATGGGATAGGTAGCCCATCGGGATCCACCCAGATCGGGATCCCACTGGGATCGAGATACCGACGGGATCGGGATCCCACCGGGATCTGGATTCCCCCCCCCCCCTGGATCCGGAGCCACAAAAAAACGGGATCCCTACCGGATAGGGATCACACTGGGGAACGGGATTGCGCCGGGATCGGGGTCAGAATGGGATAGGGGCCTCACCAGGATCGGGGTCCTAATGCAATCCCCGGCCACGCCAGGTATAACTGCTAGTTTGAATTAATACTATTTTCGTAACACAAACGTATTTGTGATATTTTAAAGAATCTTATGTGACTCAGGTATCTGGAATTTTGTCTAGTGAAATCAGCGCCATCTAGTGGCGTTGGTATCATCGTTACATAGAGAATTATGTATTTTGATGACATGATTGCATTAAAAAGCTTATCTTTTGTTTTACGTATTATTGTATATATTTTTTAAAGCAAATTGTTCTGCGAATCTATATATTACAATTCGCCTGCAAAGGTCAAACACCACCACGCAGGCTATATATAAATACGCCAGAGTGTGGTTAAATAGTGAGTTCACTAGCGCGAAAATATAACTCCCGATAACTACGCTAAATGATATAATATATATATATATTTTTTTTTTTAATAGCGCAATTGCGTTTGGTGCTTAATATTTTCATTTCGGAAATGAAATCGTCTCAATTTAAGTATTGTGTAAAAAATATTCTGTTTAAAAGTTGCATGAGAATATTAATATAGTTCATGGGCGTGAAATAGAAAGTGTGCAGTGACGAATAGTGTGGAAAAAAAAAAAGGGGGGGGGGGGCTTTAGCAAAATTGGCATTCTTAAAGTTCGTAGCTTGAGTTCACGTTTTTGTCAAGTAACTTCAGTAGATGGGAAGTTCACGCATTGCTGTCGCCAATGTTTGGCGGGCTCCATCTAGTATATAATAAAAGTTTATTTAAAATGCGTGCACCAGACAATAGCGTGCCTGAAACCTTCTATAAATAGATGTTTGAATAAGTGGGTGCATTTATGAAAACAGAAATGTCTTAAAAAGGCATCATTTGTTACACACGGAACAATTTCAGTCCATAGTAGATTTCACTTTTTTAAACTAGATTATTTACATTTATTACATTCAGTAAAAGCTTCTTCAATTCCAAACACAATAATTTTGTCTAAATATTTTTACTGACATCAGATATTGACTCAGTTGTGTTAAAGATGAAATTTTTATGTTTCTTATGTTCATATAATTAGTATTTATGATTTTTCTCAAATCTTTCGACGTCAGCTTTAAAGTTCCAAATGGTAAACATTGTATTGTCCTTTTAATAGACAAAGGTTAACTTGAAGGATTACAATTAAAGCTTCTACGTAAATCTTTGCATCAAGACCAAACTTGGTAAAAATACATTTCATTATTCATTAAAATTTTTTTGTGAATTTTAAATATTTAAAGGGTTCGGTTGACTGCACACGTGAAACTGGTGGGGTTCGGTACCCCCAAAAAGGTTAAGAACCACTGAGATAATTGAAGGCCAGCTGCTGGCAAAACAACACTGCCACATTCGGAACCTGGAAATAAGACATATAATATGGTTGGTACCATCCTGGTCAGCCAGTAGGCCTATATGATGTGGCTCAATAAGTTAATAAAAAATTAATGGGTTGGGACAACTGTCAACAAACCTGCATCGCAATGGCAGACACTCCAGTTTCAAGAATATCAAATTAACTGTAAAAGGATGGGCCCCCAAATTCAATGTCTACACGTTTTATTATAAATATTGCCTTTTGTGGGAGAACATTTAAAATTTAATAGCTAATTTAGCGTGGCGTAGGCGTAGTGTTTGTCACTACGAGTTCCCTTATAATTATAAATCTGTAAAATTATGAGTTTTTTTTCCCAAAACAAACAAACCCGAGAAAGTCGGTTATATTGGCTTGTAGTAGATATATGATATGGTTAACAATGTTCTAACAATTTTTTAACTATATATTTTTCATTATTAATATTCATAGTAATTTCCCGAATTCAACATAAATGGGGAGTACCGTGACTGGCCTGACCAACAAAGATAATTTTCGAAGTCCAAATCTAAAAAGGGGAGGGAAGATGGGGTGTTGGCTTCCTCCACTCAGAGATTGACGCCCCTGAGTGAAAGTAATCGACCCTTCCGGGTAATCGCGCGAAACGAAAGAAAGTTGTGAGATGGGGAATTACGGCTGAGAGTACTATCAAAATATACCAATCGCAGACGGTAAAAACACGCACTGCACTGATTTCACAGGTACCATCATAAAAGTCTCACTTGGTAGGAGTATAGATTGACTGATTCCTGGCTCCTTATTCCGTAGCCTGAAAAAATGAATTCGTATGCTTTAAATTACGATGTAAGTATTTAGTTTATTTAGACTTATCACTCTAACTCTAACTAACTAGTGTCTAGTCTAGTCCAACTCTAAAACGTAGAGTTTAGAGTAAAAAGAATACAATTAACATATTTATTAAATTATATCAATCAATCATCATTTTAATTTTTTGTGTGAATCCAGTGATTGTGATTGATGATTTCAGATAAAACTACTCTTAGCCTACTTACTTATATTATATTTAACCTACGGACTTTTCTCAACTATTTTTAAAACTTAATGAACTTAATTTAATGTCTCACAGTTAATAACACAACGTCTCTTAGTTAATGTTATAGTTGTAGTAGTGGTAGCCTAACTTAGTCTAAGTAAAGCCCGGACAAGCCATTGACTTGCTCCCCCCCCCCCCCCCAAAAAAAAAAAAAAAAATGCTCCCCCCCCCCCCCGAAAAAGAAAAAGAACAAATAAATTAAATAGGTCGATAAAATTACTTGTAATTTTATTAATAATGAATATTACTTAAGATTCAGATAAACAGGATCTGGCATAGTAATAGTAATATTAAATTATAGCTATCCAGATCCATGATGAATTACTAGTAGTAGTACTGTAGTACACTACAGTTACAGTACCAGACTGTAGACTATTAACATTAAGAAAATGATACAATGCCCATGTCATATATTATTATTAATTTAAAAGTCATATCATAGCATAGCTTATTAACTGCATTTCATTGAAAACATAGCTAGACTCCAGTCTTTATGAAAATGAAAGTTTATGTCATCATAAGTTTTTTCTAATGTCATCTATTAAATTCTATTCATATGTAATATGTATATATTTGTTATTAACCTATGGCCATGGCTTACTTAATGTCTATGTCTTCACTGCAGTAAATTTGCAATTCTAATAAATTATATACTTATGTCCTTATGTTACTGTTAACCTATAAGTATGGACAAAAACCTATAAACTAATGGGTTGGGGGGGGGGGGGTGAAAATCCTGCATTATAATCAATTGCCGCCCCTACATTGTAATTTACAATAAATGTAGTTCAAGAAAAAGGCGTAGCTAGAGTTGGTGTCACACCCCCCCACCCCTTTTTTTTTCCCCTGACTTCCACGATGTAATTTATTGTAATTCTTCTTGTTAAACTTAGTCCACAGTATAGCATTGACAAGAACAAAAACAAATTAATTGAAAGTCAGGAGGTAAATGTATATAAGAACTCTGACATGTACTTAGAATCGCCCATTGTTATCAAAGGATAGCTTTATTGCTCAGAATTTAGGTAAATATCGCTTCCTGTCACTTACAAAAGTTACCTAAAACTTTATTCAGCGTAGAATCATGGTCAAAACGTGTATTTCTGACCTAATAATAAGGTAATCTAATTGCTGACGCATCAACCTTGAAATTTTAATAATACACACATTTGGAATGGTTACATGGGTGGAAAATGTACGTGTCATCGGATATCCTTTTATGAATTTTGGTTAGACAGATCAGTGTTTGCTCTGTAAATATGCAATTTTTCAATTTGGTGTCACACCCTGAGCTGGGGAGATACCTTTACCCCTGGTTAAGAACCACTGTTCTAGTGAAATGTTTCTGACATATGTACAGTAATTTGATATCCATGGGAGGTGAATTTCTTACAGGTTTGTAAAGGACAGTAGTGGACACAAGGAATTTTTTAGGGGGGGGGGGGGGGGGCAGGGTTTTGTGAGGTTTATTGGGGGGGGGGGGTGTCAAAAATCGGCAAAATTTGCATGACGTCATTTATGGATGGCCCCTAACTGATAAATCAAATAGAATAAATGTAGTGAATATTGACCACAAGTCCTACTTCTGAAAGCATAATTTATTCCATAGAGGTAGAGGGATCAATGGAAAAATTGGTGGTTGTAACTGTGTTTTTTTTTGTTGTTTTTTTACATCTTTCCCCCTTCTTCCCTCCCACGGCCACATTTAACCATTTTGAGTACTCCTTTTATGTTCATGTCTCTAAATGTGTTGCTGGCATCATTGACCAAAAAATGGCAGACACGACACATAAATAAGAGTTGTACTCAAAAGGCATAACATCTCTGTCCCAATGATTACATTTCTTGTGCTTAATTTACCTTAGATTTAGCATAATTTAAAGCTCTGCTACATTAGATAATGTTAAAATTAAAAATAAACCAGGCTTACTTAGTTACTTTGATGCTAACACTCACATTATGTTTAAGTTCAAAATTGACATAATCATCCATATGTTGCCAGAATTTATTATTTTGAGATATCCCAAACAAAAACTCTGAAATTTGGGGGTTCAACTTTAAATAAGTTACTGGTTTTTGGAAATTTATAACATTACATACATGCCAATCTGGGGGATCGAAAAATGACAAAAATTCACACAAAAACTGTACAACAGCATGAAAAACTGTACAGAAAAAAAAAATTAAAGTAAAATAAAATTTAAAGTCTGTTTTATAATTTTTAAAATTTAATTATCAATTTGTTGAACTTGATGGTGATCCAATTGATGAGACATGGGTCAGCCACTCACTTAAGAAATTTCCCTTGTGCGTGTCGAATGCAACTTTCTTTCAAAAAAATTAGTTTCACCTATTTAATTGGAAGTTTCCAGCTGGAGTAAAATATTAAATTAAAAAAGAATATAATTTAAAATTCTCATTGATTTCATCTCTAAATAACCTTCAGCCTACTATTACAGTGAAAAAATCATGGCTGGTATAGATTTAGAAAGTGTTGACAAGCTTTAGCTTTAAAAAGTGTTAACAAGCTTTGGCATTTACTTTAGAAAGTGTTGAGACATTAAATTAGTCATGCCATAATAATATATAGGCAAAATAGCTAAATCAATTTATTGTTAGTGATATTAACATTATTTATTTTGTAGAAATTAATAAAAAAAACATCTACTGACACTGTAGGTCTTGCCAAGTAATTTACAAATGAATTTCCCATTATTGATTGCTACACTAAGTTGTTGCTACAGTACAACGCTGCCTATTGAAGAATTTTATCAATGATGCAACATATCACGTACATATTTTTCCATTGAAACTGCGCTCCCATTACATACTTAATTGGTTGACCAATCTTAAGTTTTGAGCCAAATTTCATTTTACAGTACTAATAGGATTTAAGCTTCCTTTTTTATCGTTATTGACTGATAATTGTTGTGTGCAAATATACATTTTTTTTTTTTCATGTTCACACATTTTTAAAAGTTTTTTGTTTCATTGGGTTTTTTAAAAAATATTTTTTTTACTAAATCCAGTTAAACAGTCCTGTATGGCTGTAAAACCGGGAATATGTTAAAAAAAACATACTAAGCACTGATAAACCCTACAGGTTGGAATGTATGACATTATCAGCAACATGATATTTGTGGTCAGAAAATAAAATAATAAATTTACCACATTGTTGATGCAAAAATTTATAGGATGAAGTTGAGCCTGTCACACGTCTCAAGACTGCCATAGATATTGCAGAACTAGGAAGCTCAAATTCTCAAGGAGTAGAATTTGAAGTAGAGAATGAAAATGAGGGTATGTTGAAAAGTGCCTAAATGTAGTATACGAATTAATGCATCTTACAATAACCTTTTACTTATACATCTTTTCCCTTGAGCTTGGCTTCTGTTTCATCTGTTTTTATTATTGATTAAATCTGCCTAGTATTTCATTTGCAAATATGTACTTTTTCTTCCTTATAACAGATTTTTTCAAAAAGTTTAACAAGAATTTGCAATTTCTGAAAGATTTTTTTTTTTTTTTTTTTGCTTTTGCTGATTTTGTTTACTTTTTTTTTAATAAAAGGAAATTTTCATATAATTTATTTATATTATGATTTAAAAACTTATAACAGATTTTTTCAAAAAGTTTAACAAGAATTTGCAATTTCTGAAAGATTTTTTTTTTTTTTTTTTTGCTTGTGCTGATTTTGTTTACTTTTTTTTTAAAAAAAGGAAATTTTCATATAATTAATTTATATGATGATTTAAAAATATTAATTATATTTAGGCCAAGAGGAAGAGACAGACATACATACTTTTAACAAAACTGAAGTGGTTTCAAACATCTGTCTTATATCCGATGATGAGGAGGAAGATGATGACGGAGAGTATCTTACAGAAGTAGAGAAACTTTGGAAAAGGTTTTCCCGTACTATAGACAGTGATATTACCCCAGCCCAAGATGGAGGTGTACTTAAGCAGATGAAGAATCCTGGCACTGGCGATATCATACCATATGAAGCCCTTGTTACAGGTTAGTGTAAACTTAGCTGAAAGAACTTTAAAAATTATGTAAAAAATATCTGTATATTGTTAGATCAATTCTAGTGCTCTGATCTTGAATAATTGTTTTCATGTCTATTTTTATATTTAAATAACTTTTTTTTTTTTGGCTGATCCAGAACACATTTTTTTTTTGTTACTCTCTTCATAGTCAACATTTTGCTCATGCCTATAATGCAAACATTGTTTTTTTTACTCTCTTCATAGTCAACATTTTGATCATGCCTATAATGCAAACATTGTTTTTTTTACTCTCTTCATAGTCAACATTTTCCTCATGCCTATAATGCAAACATTGTTTTTTTTTACTCTCTTCATAGTCAACATTTTGCTCATGCCTATAATGCAAACATTGTTTTTTAGTTATTTTTCAAATTAGACCTTATAACACAAGCTTCTTTAATGTTGCAGCCAAGAATCTGTAATAGAGTTTGAGAAATACATTTTTTGTTTACTTCTGTTCAGTACATTATAATGCCTATACTGAAGTGGGTCAACCGCCATACGATAGTACCCGTCTACGAAGGGAACCAACAAAGATTAGGCTCACAGATGGTAGGTCAAACTTTGGATTGAATAAGCTTGTGTTTGAAAAAGTGGAAAATATTTTCAGGCTCATTAAATTCAATAATTTTGTATAGTTTGCGTTCAACATATTGTTTAAGGCAGTTGGTCTTAAAAGGTTAATTTTAGAATTTATAAATAACTTCATGAACCTAGAATTGTGAAGATATTTACAGGCACTCCCTGTAGTTTTGGACATCCGACTTAACTGAAGTAGAGAACCAGCACTCTATGTTAAAAAAATATATTTAAAAACAGAATACAGACGCTCACCTCATTACGAATGAGTTATGTTCTGAATGACTGTTTGTACCATAAATTTGTTCATAAAATGTTTCTGGGTTCGCTGTTGAGGACAAGTATCTTCTAACAATGTTTGTGACCTAAGACCTATAAATACAAGACATAAAAGGTAAAAAATACTGAAATAAATAAATAATAGATTTTAAATAAAGAATTACTTTACTGTACAGTATGTACTTTGGATTGTTGTCTATGAGGATGAAGTCAGGAGAAGGCTAGTAGATCTTTGCGTGTGTGTATGAGGTAAGGAGGAGGCTAGTAAATCTTTACATGTGTGTATGGGGTGAGGAGGAGGCAAGTAGATCTTTACATGTGTGTCAATGACTGACTCTCCCTCTGAAGACTTTTCTACAAGTAGAGAAGACATTTGTGGGATTACACTAAGCATCATGAAGACTCATCTAAAAGTAAAGAAGATACTTGTCGGATCACTGTGAGCATCATGAAGACTCTTGCTACGTTCCCTTTGTTTATTTCCAATAATTAAGATTCCCAACAAATTTCCCTTTGAGGACAGGTTTGTTTGTATCTGCAAAAGTTAGTAAAATGAACGTTCCTAAAGTGGGGAGTGTGTGTATATAAAGTAGCAGTTAGGTGTAGTTCTCTGTAACTCACATAAAAACATTTTAAAAAGTAACTTAACTGTTTTTAATATGTCATGGATTAAAGGGAAATTTCATTTCTTTGCATTGCTTGTTATGAATGAAAACATAAAATTTAAACTTAATGACTTTTACCTATACAAACTTTTAGCCTTTATTTAAAAAATTCTGCATTTTGCTCGATAGAATTAGTATTAATAAACAATTCTGAATGTATTTCCTATTCTTTAATTAAAAGAAATTTGATCCAGTATAGTGGTACAGGTAGGTAAATTTACCAAATTAAACTTATCTAACATTTGAATTGAATTTTAGACCAAAATTACTTAAATAAACTAATTCAAATAATCACTTTGAATTCTATCAATTGCAGGAAAAATTGTTAAAGGCTTTGAATTGGCTCTTTTGTCCATGAGAAAAAATGAGCTTTCCAGATTTCTTATTCGCCAAGATTATGCTTATGGTCAAATGGGATGTCCGCCACGCATTCCTCAAAATGCAAACAGTAAGTATCAAAATTTGTTTCTACTAAAGTACGAATCGGCATCATTAAGTCAGAGGACCAATATGCTGATAGACAAGAAATCCTATTTCTTCCCCCACTTCTGGGTTTAATGTGGAAAATGTAGAGGGGGAAAAAAACTCATTAAGGACAAAAACCATATGTCCAAAATGAGAGCTTTCCAATGGAAGCTATTTCTTTTTTAGTAGGCTGGTCATGCTTTTTTAAGTTCTCAGAAGGTTTCCCAACTTAACTGAACGGAAATTTTGTGATACACTACCTGGTGTCTTTACATTTTCTTTTTCACAAACCTCACATTCTCATCTGCATATGTTAATTTGCAAACAGTCAATAGATGCCTCCTTGCATAAATGATGAGAAAACTTTTACATGATAATGAAGCATTACAAACAAATTAATCACAACACCAAGATGAGAAAACACACATTTGAGAGATTAGCCATAGGCTAACAAATTTGTTCAACCATCGTCGTACCCTGTGATTACAGGAAGGATAGGATAGCTGCAAGTATTGTACAGGGAAGCAGAACCATCAGATTCAGTTTGAGACCAGCAAGCAATCGTGATTTATATCATATATTCTTTGTAATATTATGATGTTTAGGCTCTTGCTTCAAATTTCTTCTACTTCTGTTCTCCAGTCATAATGGACATAGAGGTTATTCATTTTGTTGCACAAGATGGTGTGGAGGACTACTATGAAATGACCCCTGTAAGTATATTATATCATTACAGCACCACAGTAGGGTTATGGGACATAGGAAACTTCAAGCAGTGTAATCAATATAAATTATTGTTTTTTTTAAAATAATATTTTAATATATAAATAATTCGTCAGCTTCATTTTCTATTGACAGGAAGAAAGAAGGTCAAAGCTCGTGTATAATGACATTGAAAAAGTAGTTAAAGCAGAAAATGCTGTGAGTACTTCTTCTTCTTCTATATATTAAGGGCCCACGATCAATTTATTGATCATTTTGGCTCCTATGTAAGTATAGGGGATTTGCAATGTTTCTGTGCCTGGTGTTGATGAGGATATTTCAAGGTTGCAAGCAAATGTTCCCTCCAAGGTTTGCTTGTTCGTGTGCAGGATCATAGAGTTTTGTGCCAACTCTTATGGCATCAATTTTTTGTGTGCAAAATTTTACAGCCCACACACAAACACACACACAAACACACACACAAACACACACACAAACACACACACACACGGAAATTACATGAATGAACTTAAGTGCAAAAACTGTCATAAAATAAATAAAGGAACAATAATTAAATAATTATAATCAGAAATGTTACAATAGTTCAAGCAAAGCTGCCACAATAGTTCAATCGAAGCTATATATATTTATATTATTTATCCCGTTGTTGGGTCAGCAACTAAATTCCAACACATCCACTACCAATAGCCGCTAGTCATTTGATTCTCTCTTTTTTGGAAGTACTCTGGCGTCTGTCTTTCAATGATATCCATCTTTAATACACATCGTCAAGGCTGATCTGATGTCCACCTTTTTTATACGATTTAATCCTCATAAGCAAGTCTAAATGTAACTCTTTCAACCTATTTCTAGATTTTACTTTTATATTATTCAATAGGCTGAATCAACTTTCATAATCGGCGCTTGGTGCAAGAAATGTAGCACAAATATCCAACAGAATGGCAATATCGCCAAATTGCTCCTCATTTATTACAAATCGAACCATCTCGTCGAAAGTCTGCATCAATCCACATTTCATTTTTTCTGCAAGCACAAACCTTAAGTTACGATATTGATCCTTAACTTTCTGCAGAATTTCATCATGGTTTTCACAGAATGACACATATCTAGAAACCAGTGCTGCTGTTAATCTGAATTGTCGATTAACGCTGATATCTCAAGGATTCAACTTACTTTCAGGGAAACGAGAGTCCAGGTGTAAACATAAACGTTTAACGAATTTTAGAATAGAACTCATGTTTAATTCGTCTTCATTTGCAAGCAATTAAGCAACCTCTTCGGACCAGTGCACATTTTCACCAAGGTACTGGGCACGTAGCTTAGCGATCCTTGTTTTTACAAACTGGTATGCCTCAATGGTCGTAAGATTTTTTCTTTGTAGCAGCTTGCATAATTCAGCAAGTTCACCAACAACTTCATTATAGATAATCAGTGAAGTTTGAAACTGCGGATCCCTTAGTTTCTTCAAACAGTACTTATGAACCGGATCATTATACAGGCCCACCTTCTTCTCACAGTATTCAGTCAACACTTGTTTCGCAGCAATGCTCGTAAAGCAAAATGCTGTGAAAGCTATCTGATTTCATTCAATGGTCTCAGGGCTGCGGAATCACATTCCAACACCTTAGGTAGTTCTGTAAACTGGGCTTTTCATACTGTTGACCTACTGATCAATGTGTACACTGTCCTAAGGAATGTTTCTGTCATTAAACTTGTATGTTTGCAAGCATCATAGATGCCTAAATCTTCATCAGTGAAACTTTCTGTTAGTATTCGCAGTACACCTCCTTACTGTATAGAACGAAGTCTCTGTGTATTTTTTGCTTGTTATGTCATTTAAGATAATCCAGCTTTCAAGTCTCCCAAGTTTTCTAATTGGAGAAATCCCCACCTGCATTAGTTTTGAAGCACATTTCACAGGAAAAATAATCACCTATTTCGCAATATTTAAAAATATCACCAAACTTTAAAGTCCGCTCTGACGACGAATCTTGTAGTGCTGCATGGACTAATTCATTAAACCATTAGGTTTTAACATTTGATATACACTTTTTCTTAGCAAGCTATGACTATGACAGTTCGCTTAACTAACATTGAGACATAACGGTTGAAACATTATTAAAAATAATTAGCTACTAAATTTATAATTAACGAGGCTAGCTTGATCTGGTATGTATCGGTAATTATGTAAATCAATAGTTCTAAGTAAAAAGTAGAAAACAAAAATATAGATATGAATCAAATTAAAAACATGTTTGTATATTTTATAAAAAAAACTGTATAATTCCGGCTGCAGAGTGCTTGAATTTATTTATAAAAAATTTGCTGCGTGGATACTCAAAACTGCTGCGTGGATACTCAACACTGCTGCACGGCATCTTTGAGATAGCTGCGCAGCCATGCAGCTTAAAGGGACCATTGGTTGCAAGGTTTACTTTGTGAGGGTATCATACACTGGGATTGAAAGGCCTGAGGCAATAGACGCAAATGTGTCAAGTGTTGTCGCCTCAACTGTTCCTTTTGAAAGCTTGTTCCAGTCCTGATTGACTTTAACAGGAATGTACAGTTCCTATAGTGGCTTCTCGCTGGTATGAGCCAGAATTGCCTGTCACTTTCTATGGGGGAGAGGGATGAGTTTCTGTTTAATGCTGGAGCAGTGGACCAGCCCATTATTTATTTTCTACATTATCTTTATATTCTTGTACTTTATCTGTTTGTTCTTAGTGTCAATGAATCATATCTGATTCTTATTCTGAGGTATCTGTACTGGATTTAAAAGCTGTCGAAACTTTAGAATCACTGAATCTAAAACTCATTACATTATTTAAAGCTCAATATTAAAAAAAATAGGACCACAGTCATACATTTTCTCAAGTTTATTTCTTTTTGTAATAGGAAGCAAAGCAATATTTTGACGGCAAAAACTACCACAAGGCATTTGGAAAATACAGACATGTAAGTTAAATATTGCAAACTCAAAATTTTAAAACTTTCATTGTCCTGTATTTGTCTGGTGTTTTTTTTTTATTGATGTTGGGGTATCAAGTGTTGCTTTAGTGAATATACAAAATAATTTATGTTATGGATATAAAAATATGTTGATGGCAGATATTTCAATATTACTCACATATTAATTGTTAATACCACATGGGATCTTTTGTTTATGTTTGTATATGAAAAAGATGAAAATCCCAAGGACACACACACACCCTTTTTAAAAATATTTTTAAAAAAATTATTTTAAAAAAATTTTTTTTATATACAAGCCTTAAAAATGAACAAAAGAAACTTCTAAATAATTATAATTTTGTTCAGCTATTTTTAGCAGGTTTAATATTTGATCAGAACTTAGAAAATTTTATAATTTTGTTGTTTTCCTCAGGCAATAAATATTTTGGAGAGTTACCACTTGAAGAATGAATCAGAAGAAGTCCAATGGAAAAAACAGTTACAAAAAGTTAACCTGAATGCTGCCATGTGCTGTTACAATTTGAAACATTTTCGTCGTGCAATCACTTACTGCAATTTGGTTCTTAAAAATGATCAAGATTGCATTAAAGCACACTACTTCAAAGGCAAGGTAAGAAGTACTCTGTAGGAAACATTCATCATCAGTGATAAGACCATTTTTTTTTTTTTAAATTTGTTTATGCTACAAATTAAAATTAATGTCAATTATAATCAAAAGTAAAGTAAATTATTAGTTAACCAAACTCAGGTGAGTTTCTTTGCTCCCAAAGATATAATTTATATTCCACTGGTTCATGATAAAGTGCTTTTTAAATCCTTTATATTAACTTGGCTTTTGTTCGTGTTTCTTTCTGGCTGGGTGTGTGGCAAAATCTTCAGATCGCTAATTAATCCACTTCCCGTCAACCTATTGAGCTGAAAATTTGGCACAAAGACTCATTGCTGTTGACAACGCATTCTATCAAAATTTCAAAGCCAGCCCCCAAAAAATCAGTTTTTCCTGTTTTTCAAGGTGAAGATCAAGGAAATATGATGACACTTATTTCACAAAATAAAATTCCTGATATCTGCGCTAAGGGAGATTCTTTAACAAAAATTGCATGTGCGTTTGGTGCGTAACATTTTCTTTTGTTTTTCTGAAATACTTGGTGAAATAAATCTGCGGTGTAAAAGCGGGTGGGTCAAAAGAATGTTAGTGTTCTTTTTTTAAAATGCATATGAAGGATTTATTCGAAAAACTTTGTTTTTAAGGGTTTGTTTAATTTTATGAAGTATTAGGAGGAAAAGTACTGTTCTATTTTTATTTGAATAATAAATGAAAGAGAATACAATTAGAAGCAAGCTGATACACATTTTATGTCTTACTGTATGAGTCTGAGTGACATAAATAGCATCCAAATCACCATTGACTTGAGTAAAATGTTATCTGAGATAAATATCATGGAGATGGCAAGTCACCAAAACAAAATTAGATGTGTGCTTCAGCCACCTGTTTTAGTCACATAAGTTTTACATTCACGTGTTAATTTCATGAACAGCTTATAACAACTGCCAGCTTCCTAGGCCTGTTGTAGGTTGAAATTACATTTGGGGACTATTTCAATTTGAGGTGTGAGTCATCTTTTTGCTGAACATTAATATCAGTGGTCAGCGGCGTCGACAACTTTATGAGTTTATATTTCTGGACAGGAAAGTAGACAGAGAGATTGAGTGCAAAGGAATCGGCTATCAAATAGCCCTGCCCAAGAATGAAGATTGAGACCAGCTAGCGCCAGTTAGATTAACACTGTCTTTATTCAACACTTAATTACAATGGCAAACCCGGGCTCTAACTAAAACTCAAAAGAAAAATTCCTAAGTTGCAAACTGGTAAAAGGAGAAAGGACCTCATTTGGAACCAGGAAATATTATTATTATAAGTGGTTTTATATAGCATGGTACCCCAACCTAGGTAAATGGCCCATCTGCAAATTATTGTTTGATGATCTGGTTAGAATGCTTGTTGATCAACCTGGAATTGCAGGCCTTCCAGTTTCAGACCTGAAGAATGTCACAGTGTCTGTAGATTGTCTCTGTTAAGGACACCCTCAAAGTCCACAACATGAATCTTCAGCAGGCATCACACTTTGCATTACATCGCCAACTACCTAGATGCAGCACCTTCCCATTTGAAGCAGACTGGGGAAATTTTTTTAACTGTGAATTTCAGTAAGCTCTTCTCACAAACAATCTTGGTGTTTTGGTTTCTAAGTTTGTTTTTCTTTAGTTAGACCTGACAAATTTGGTTGAAAAATTAGTCTGGTTAGCTTCATGAAATCTTTCTTTGTAGGCACTACATGGTCTTGGCAGCTTTGAAGATGCAATAACAAGCCTGAAGGCTGCAAGGAATATTGATCCCAGTAATGCAGCTGTGTCGAGTGCATTAAAGAGTGTAGCTAAGTAATATATGCTGATGAATTTAAATAATGTAATGCAAGATATACCGTTACTCTTGGTTTACACTTTAAAAAGAAGTATGGAAACTTAATATTGTTCAAGTCATTATTCTGTACACTAGCTAATATTAGTAATATGAAGCAGAGGTAACATTCGGAAATAATTTTTTGATAAGACAAAACAATTTTTGTTTGAAGGTCAATTAAAGAATACCAGCATTTTGAAAAAAGCATGTACCAACGAATGTTTTCTGAAGCAAATACAGGTCAGTAAAAGTGTAAGCAATTTCTTTCATTGAATTTACCATTTTAAAATTCAACTGTAATAATGATTCATATGCTAATTCAAATCTCTGGTTGTTTTATATTTTATGTCAATGCATTTGCCAGGGTAAGGTGATTATCAGGCATTTTTTTTCTAAAAACATCTTTATGCAACAATCGCATATCTAATTCAAAGGGAGCTTCCTGTTATGAACATGTAAAATGTTATCTCTTTTCCAGATTCAAAAACCAGTGAAGAACCTAAAAAAGAGCTAGAAGTGCTTGGGGAGAATGTATACGGCCCTTGCTCTGATGCATTCAAGAATCTTGTACAAGAACAGTTGAAGTAAGTTTAATCATTGTAATGCACTCTTGATTCTCTGGTGATTGAGATCTGGCTCAGATTCAGAGAAGAAATGTTTTAAAATTATGTTTTGAGAAAAACACATCTCAATGGTTAATCTGATGTTAAAAAATACTGAAGAATTTGTAAGTTTGCAAAATGGATAACCTTGAAAAATTAATCAGTAAAAATATTTTTCACCATTTCATAATGCTTACTTTAAACATTTCTAATCAGAAAATTTCAAGACAGCAACATGACGGAGATGCCCTTTCCCAGCATACACATGACAGAGTCTGAAATTAAATGCATCCTTACAACAGCTGTCACTCTTGGCATGGATGTTAAACAAAGAGGGACCGTAAGTTATTCATAGGCATAATGTGGAGTCCTTATTGCTTGACATTAATGCTTCCAAGGGTGAATTAAGTAACAGAAAATATTGGATATCATGAAACTATTGGAAACAAGTTAAGTGCTGTAGCACTAAATGAAAACTAGTTAAGTGATTTAGCTTAAAATGGACATATTAAGTGCTGTGGCACACAAAAATGCCAACTTCCAACAATAAGTACATACTTCATAATTTTTTTTAAATGATTTTATTTTCAGTATATTCTGTTAATTAAAATATTGTGATAACATTCTTTGAACAGTTAATAAGTTTGGCAATGAAATGTTTTAACATTATTTTTGTTTTTATCAATTTTTCAGGGTAGCTCTGTGCACTATGAAGTTTACAAAAAGTCTGTCAAGCTTGAGTAATGTAAATGTTACAAACGCTGCAAAAATATTGTTTTGTTTTACGGTTGTGTACATGAGTTACTGGAAATAAGACTTTTCAAGTCAAATTTAATTTGCATTTTAGTTAAAATTTGAAAAAGATGAATAACTGAATTGATATCATTGTGCACGAGAGTGTTAGTACCGGTACCTACGATAAATTTAAGAGTATTTGAACAATGATCAACTTTAAGTTTTGATTCAGGCTCTGTGTACTTTTACTCATAATACATATATTTTTTTAATGTTTATGAGCATAAAATTACGGATCTTTGATCTGAAGTATACACTCTTTTCATGTTATTTTAGCTTTACTTCCATTTTTATGTTATGGCTGCTGCACGAAAAACCAGCTTTCATTTTTTTTAAAGTTGATGTTTTATATATGCTTAAAATAAAGTGTTAATTCAAAACTTAAGTTGGTTTCCACTTTCTTGCCTGTTATAGTTATGTTAACATTTTCAATATAGAACAAAGCCAGAGTGTTGCAGTTTAATCATTTATTAGAAAAATTAATTTTTTTCCCCCTTCATAAATCAACCTGGTTTATCAAATAACTGTTGAAGATTGATTTGAGGGATTTTATTTACATCCAACTTTTTAGAAACCGTTATTGGCATTTGATCTGTAAATGTCTCTCCCCCCGACACTGGACTTTTTCCTTTTGTCTGAAAATAAACCATTTAAATGTAATGTCATTATTATAAAATTATTTATTTTAGGCTGCTAGGCTACCATACACAAATTAATATCAACACAATATGTGACACAAAATTTTAAGAAATACACTGTCATAGATACCTAAGTAAATCAAAATTATTAAATTTTTAAAAAAAAATTAATGTTCTAGCTCTTTGTTGAAAATGATCAGACCGCTAGTATAATCATAAATTAGGGACTGAGTATTAATATTTTAATTGTTTATGCTAGATATTTTTTGACCGTATACAGTATTAAGAGGTACTACATATTTTAACACTACACATGATCAATAATAATTTCCATAGAAGTAATTTTAAAACAATTTGACCTCAAAACTAAAAATCTACATTAAATAAGATTTGCAAATAAAGATAATTAGATTTATATCTTCAGATGGGTTATGACAGAAAAAGGAGTCATTTCTTCAAATGTATTTGCTAATTTTTACTTACTCTGGACTGCTTTTCCGCATGTGTTATTAAATGTATTCCCTCCGCTTTGAGAGTCAAGAGTGTTTCATTAAACAGCTGATCAGTAGGAACACTTTTTTTGCTTTGCAGTTCAAAATATTTGTCCACAAACCTGTGTATTAAAATGGATGTCACTAGCTTAATTTTAGAACAAGGTTGTGCAGCTGTCATACTATTTTTAAAGAGGAATACATGTATAACCTTGCTAATCTAATAGAAATAATTCCAGAGAACTTGAAGAAAAATTTAATGAAAGAATTCTTGCTAAAACTTGTTTTTAAGTAGGGAAATATGCTAAAAGAAATCTACCTCTGCAGTACTGTCTTATTCTTGTGGTCGTTTAATCTTACTGGTTCAGGATCAGTATAGGTTCTATAGAAATGCCTGAATTATAAGTAAACAAATTTATTTAATTAAAACAAAGTATAGTTATAAAAACAACATATTTTTTTTAATTTCATGTAATGAAAAAGTATTTTAAGTCGGATTTAAAAAATTAAAGAGAATGAATTTAGTACATGTTTATCTAATACAGTAATTACAAAAAACTTTGAAAATATTAATTTGCCTGTACAATGTTTCATAATGTTAAATTGTAGGACGTAAGTGGCGAGTATGGGAGTTCATTGACAATTGTTGCGACTGGATATTATATTTGAATATGCGCTGTGTATTTTTGAGAAATTAATTAGTGAACACTCTTCCCATGCTTGACTTGGTGACGTATTTTTATGCTTATTATGAGGTATTGTCTAGTCTGTTTTGTGACATACGTTTTAGTAGTGCAGGAGTATGAAAACAACTTTGTGGAAAAAGGTCTTGCTTTATTTCTCTCTGATTGCGAGCTGCGCTATACATGTGTATATGGAATTAACAGTCTGTGAATTTGCAATTATTATGAAAAAGAACTTGAGTTGATTCAGTAAAAGAACTTGATGAATTAACCAATCTAATACAAACAGGAGTTTCACAGCAAGAACAAAATCATTTCAAACTTTAATTGATCAGCACAAGTTAAGTTAGTTTGATTATCAACAAATAAAGGCATTGGCAACAGCAATCAGCATACCAAACATCAGGTACCAGAACTGATGAGTTTGAAAACTAAGTATTACAATCCAATCAATATATTTATAATGATGCACTTAGACACACTCCTATATGTCCTAGGAGCAGGGTGGGAAAAAAAATGCCCTCTACACTATAGCATAGTAACAATCCAGAGTTTAACAGCCTATTTAATTCTGAGTGTTGCCTAGTATTACTATGAAACATTTAGTGGTTTGTTGAAAAGTAATCTATTTCAATTCATTCCTGTGAGATGGCCGATTCTAAAAAAAATTGTGGGCAAAGTCTTACAGGAAAAATTATAAGACTATTTATCAGTGCCCTAGGGTGGTGTGGAGCAAGTTTGGGAACCACTAATCTAAAACATTTTAAAAATTTACACAAATTGTTAATAAAGCTAATGCATTTGTACTTAGAATTTGGAAATGGTCGCTTCTATATCATACGAATTTATTGACAAAACAGTTTTAAGCAATTTAATTACCTATATTAAAATTAAAATGTACATTTACCATGCATTAAAAATACAAAAAGCAGAAAAAAAATTAAATTCTCACGCAATGACAAAGTCCTCTGGATATAAAATGTTTTGGACTTGCTTTGGAGGTGGAACAGGCTTAGGTGGTATTGCCTTTATTACGTCATACCAAATAGGTCGATCTTCTTCTTTTATTGCCCCAGATCTCAACAATCCAGACATTCTGAATACAACACAATAAACATTTTAAAATATTTTATGTTAGAAAGATGATTTTGAAGGATTTTTGGTGCCGGGTGAGTCTGAACTTTGCAAAATAAAATGAATATTTTCTTTTTTCATCATTGCTATCTCAGTGGCGTCAAAAATACATGACTCCATATGCAAGGGTATGAAAATATATACCCCAGGTTAAGTCCCAACTCCTAAACCATCCTCCACGTTTTAATTCTAAACTTTCTAAGAGTGTTTTGCCTCATCTTGTCTTACACAAGTTACAAGGCCCCAATTTATTTATTTAGGCCCCAATTTATTTATTTAGGCCCCAAAAAGTTTGTGATAGACTCTAATTCAATCAAGACAGTTCCAGTTAATAAGTCCTTACTTAGTGATTCCAAATATGGTTGTTTTCATTAAGTATTTAATTTTAATAGTTAAAAATTCCTAGTCTTAGTATTTAGTTTAGTTATTCCAAATGTAATTAAATAGTGAAATATCATATTCATATGGTTGTGATTCATTCAGGGTGATTGATAATGTCTGATCACTGGTACTGATGTACGAAATTAAGTTGAAGATGAATTTATAAATAATTTAAATTTATTGGGATATTATTCTATATTTTTTACCTGGCAAATATGGAGCCAAGCTTCTCCCTGCGACTACCGGCCATTTATTTACCATGAACAGGTTTCAAGGTTCTATAGTCTAAAGACATTGACTCAATATAATGGGCTAAGTTTGTCCTATGCCTATGCAGTTTAATCGTCGAGGTTAAGAAAGTTTTTTTTATAAAAGGCAGTGACTCCGTACATTTCTATTGTAAATCGGACACAAATGAGTCGGCTCTATGTCTATGACTATGATGAACACCAAGGCTGTACACTTCGCCTGACCTCAGCAATCTATTACTATCAAACCCTCCCTTTTTAATGTTAATTGTTGAAATCGGGAAGAGGAGGTTCAGCAGCTCTATTGTGCCTACTATCAACACCCCCTCCCCCTTTTAATGTAAATTAAATAGTTTAAATCAAAATATGCATAATTATTTTGATTTGATTGGATTTGATATTTATATCGCGCTGGTATCCATGCCACTTTAGCATGCTCACTGCGCTCTGGTCCTCCGAAATCTATTTAAACAAAAACTTTTTAATTGTTTCTTAAATGATTTTTTATCATTTACAATTCCCCTCAAAGATTGAGGCAAACTGTTCCATAATTTTGGCGCTATCGCTTCAAAAGAGCGCACTCCGTTAGACATTTTTTTTCTGTGTTCATCCACACTAGGAAGTATGCTTACCAAAACCTTTTAGGGTATAGGTGGCTCTGGGTAGAGGTAGTACCTTTCGATGTCGGTCATGCTGCAACCTCGGGTGGGTAGCATCACTGGTCCTCATCCATCCTCTAAATCTCTCACATGTGGCTCCGAACACCATATCCTGGAAAACTGCCCCAGGTGGCGAACTAAATCATGTGAGGGGTTGGTATTAACATGGCACCACTGGGCGTAAAACCTACCTGCTGCAGGTTGCTGGCCAGGGCGCAAGAGTTACGAGACGAACTTGAACGGCCACGCGTTCGTGACAAAGGCGAGTCACCTAGTCCTAGTTGGAGGTCATCGGCTGTGGTCAGGCATGGAGAGTGATGGAAGCTGACATCCTCAATCTGTGCGATAAACGGAAGCAGTTAAAGAAAGCAAATATGGTAGATACAGAGGGGGCCAATAAATGTAGGACAGTTAACCAAGCCATCAAAAAAAGTATGAGAAGGGCAAAGAAGAACTTGATTGAAGAGCTATGCTACGACATTGAAAACTGCTTGAAGAAAAACAATAGCAAAAAGGCATACCAGTTGGTGAAAGAACTAACCACTGCAAAGCAAGGGCATAGTACTACCATACAAGACAAAAATGGTAAATGTTTGACTGAGTAAAATGATATCTTAAAAAGATGGACTGAATACTGCTCAGAGCTGTATTGTGAAAATATAAAGATAGACACAGAGATCCTTAATGTCCCTCCAGCAACAGACAGTGATAACTACCCTATTCTCCGCGTAGAAGTGGAAGCAGCAGTCTAAGCACTCCAAATAGGAAAGGCCGCAGGAGTGGATAATATCCCTGCCGAGTAGGTGAAACAACGAGGAGAAGCAATGATAAGTGCCCTAATAAATATTTGTAACAAAATATGGCTAACAGGGGAATGGGCCAAATCATGGACCCAATCGCTCTTTATCACCCTCCCCAAGAAAGGTAACCTACAGCTATGCCAAAACTATCGCACCATTAGCATGCTGCTTTATGGGCCCCCATGAGGTACTTCAACATTAATGCAAACCTCACCAGAATGATATGCAGCCTCTATGATAAGGCCACCAGTGCAGTCTTCTTCAACAATAACATCGGAGAATGGTTCAAGACCACGGTTGGAGTACGACAAGACTGCTTGCTGTTCAACATCTTCTTAGATAGAGAGAATTATGTCAGACGCTCTGGAAGCACATTTAGGAACAGTCAGCATTGGTGGCAGAACAATCTCCAACCTACGTTTTGCGAATGGGTTAGATGGAATGGCTGGAAACGAAGAAGAGCTAGCCAACCTGGTAAAGCGTCTCGACAAGACTTCATCGTCCGTTGGCATGCAAATCAGTGCAGAAAAGACACAATTGATGACGAAAAACACCATCATGCAGGGTGCAATGAGAGGAGGGAGAAGAAGAGGAAGACAGAGAAAAAGATGGGAAGATAACATCAAAGAGTGGAAGGGACTAAAACTAGGCGATGCTTTGCAGAAAACAGAGAGGAATGGAGGATAGTTTTCATGTCACCTGTGGCGCCCCAACGTTCCAAGAACTGAGAGACATGATGATGATGATCATAATATGAAGGGTTGAAATCGGGAGAGGGGATCACACAGCCTTTAAAGGAGGATTATTTGGCTCAGGCCTAATACTAATTTTCAAACAAGTGGCCTCACATTTACTCATGCATTTTATAAATAAGCTTAGTACTCGACAGTCTCTACATGTAGAATTTTAACTTAGCTACATTAAATATGGAATTTGTTAATAACAAAGTTCTGATAATGAAATGTGTACGAGGCGACTCTCTAAGATCATCAGGATACAGAGGCTTCTCCGGGGTTGGTATCACCCGGTGTGATAGTGTCGACCCCTCCCTTCCGGTCCCCCCAGCCCTTTTTCCGACATGCACCGAGTTATTCTTAAACCATATCATACATCGTTAGAAGATGCAACAAACGTACGATTTAGTGAAACGTTCAAAGGTAACTGTCAACACTTTAATTTCCTAGCCTTCAAAGGTGCAAACCTGTCATTCACTTCCCCAGAATCAACATTCTTCATATTAGCCTGATCAATTTTAAAAGTGCAATACCGAAAAGCCTGGAGTATGTTCAACATAAATATTGATCAAACTTTGATGATTTCAGTTTCCCCCCCCCCCCCCCCGCCCCGGGAGCCTGTTCTTGTGTCACTCTGCATGTTCTTGTGTCACTCTGTCCCCGTGTTACTCTGTTCTTATTGTTGCACGCTTTTCATGTTGCCCTGTGTTAATTAATTTATTTTCATTGTCCTGTAAATAAAACAGTCTATAATTAATGCCATACTTAGTCCGTAGTGTAGATGCACACGGCTTACTTAGTGGTTGCTTAAGTCCATGCAGTATGCGCAACACACACAGATCGTTCCATGAGCCTACGTTAACCAGAGCAGATGACAAATTTTTAATATTAAGACCCATTAGTACACGCTACAAGTTATCTAACAAGACCAAGGTCCTTCGAGGTGTTTGCTTATAGCATACATTTATTGTGGAGGCGTTCGGCAAGATAGCAGGTCATTTGTAGGTTCCTTGTGGAAGAGGAGGAAGTCGGCTTAAAACAAAATCGTTACTGTTCTTGATTTTTAAGACCTTTTATATGTAAGTGTTTGAGTGTCATGAAACTAGATAATCTGGTACGATTTTATTATGGGAAACATTGCTGTGCAAGCGCATTTCCTGAATGGTCTTAGTGTTATAGGAAACATTAATTGCTGTGCAAGCTCCGTTCTTAAATAGTTATAGTTTTATGGCAAACATTGCTGTGCAAGCTCATTTCCTGAATAGTTATAGTGTTATGGGCAGTGGCGTAGCGAGGGTGTTTGGCGCCCGGGGACAAGATTCGCGCCTGGGGACAAGATCCATTTTTAGCGCCCCTTTTTCTTTTTTTCAACTCTCAAACCCATTATTTTCATAAAAAAATAATATCAAAGCACATTTTGGCGCCCCTAACTAGCTGGTGCCCGGGGACATCTGTCCCCCCTGCCCCCACCACGCTACGCCTCTGGTTAAGGGAAAAATTAATTGCTGTGCAAGCTCCGTTCTTGAATAGTTACAGTGTTGTGGGAAACATACATACGGGCATGGGCGCTCGCAGAGGGGGCAAGGTGGGCACTTCCCCCCCCCCCCCTGGATTGATTGAATAAAAAAAAATTAGACAAAAATAGACAAAAAATTTATTAAAGTAAAGAGAAAATAAAGAGAAAGTAACTAAGCTGATGTCCTGTCCATTCGTTCACCATACAAATACGCTACAGCAAATTAAAACTTTATTAAAACATTACTAAAGAAATTCCCCCCCCCAGAAAGTTAATCGATTTTTTTGCCCCCCCCCCTAGAAAGTTTTCTGCGGGCGCCCATGCATACGGGTGTGTGCAGCTAACTTTATCTCGCCTTCCACTTTTTGACCTGATAAAGATATTTTACTCTTACTAAATTAGATCCAGATAAAATTAATATTTATTAATAAGGTCGTTTGTAACAACGGGAAAACAACAGTTCGTTCGAACAAACACAAAATATTGACTTAAGTGGGGGATATTGGATATTGAAATTAAAGAAAAATGAAGTATAGACCAAATGTGACAAGTATAAGTGGGCAGTAGCGTCACACTGGTTGGCGTCAACCAGATAGGTAAACTCATGGTGTCACTCATCCAATCTTCCCCATGGACCTTATCCTAGCCAGGTTCTCTGGTGGCAGTCTATTCTGGTGGCACCCTGTTCTGGCGGCAGCCTATTCTGGTGACGACACCCTGTTCTAGTGGCAGTCTGTTCTCGTGACAGTCTGTTCTGGTTGCAGTCTGTTCTGGTGACACCCTGTTCTGGTGGCAGTCTGTTCTTGTGACAGTTTGTTCTGGTGATAGTCTGTTCTGGTGGCATATGTTAGGGTATTTAACCATCGACGGAAGTAAAAAAAGTATACATCACTCTTAAGTTTTCTCTGATTTTTTTTTTTTTTTTTGAAATGCAATACATTTTTTAGAGAATCGAGAAAAAAAAAGGGGGGGGGGGGGGTAGTTTTTTAAATTTTTTTTTTT